TTCAAAGTAGGTTGTGCCATCCCTACTGAATCAATATTTTTAAAAGATTCATTTATTTTGCTTGAATGTCAAAGTTACAGAGAGAGAAGAAAAGACAGAGAGAGATCTTCCATCTTCTGGTTCCCCCCCCCCCCCCCCCCCCCCGCCCCGCCAAGTGGCTGTAAAGCCCAGAACTGGGCCAGACCAAAGTCAAGAACCAGGAGCCAGTAGTTCTTCCAAGTCTTCTATATGCATGCAGGAGCCCAAGGCCTTGGACCATCCACCAAGGCTGCATCAGAAATGAAGCAACCAGGACTTGAATTGGTACCCAAATAGGATGCTAGCACTGTAGGTCAAAGACTAATTTGCTGTGCCACAGTGCTGGCTCCTACTCAATCAATTTTTAAAAATGGCTTGAAACCCTGAACCCTGCACAACAGCCTAGTGGCTGAATCCTAGCTTTGCATGCACTTGGGTTCCATGTGGGTCCTGGTTTGTGTCCTGCCTGCTCCACGTCCCTTCCAGCTTCTTGCTGGTGACCTTGGAAAGTAGTAGAGGATGGCAGAAAACCTTGGGGCCCTGCACCTGTGTGTGAGACCCAGAGGAGGTTCGGGGCTCCTGGTTTCTGATGGGCTGGCTCAGCTTTAGCCATTGCAGCCACTTGGGGATGAGTTAGCAGACGGAAGAACTTTTTCTTTTTCCTCTCTGTAAATCTGACTTTCCGATAAAAATAATAAACCTTAAAAAAAATTTTTTTTAAGTGCTGATGCTTTTCTATTTCTCTTCTCGAGTGACACATAACAATACAAATTAGCTTTAACATTTTTTAAAGGATTTATTTATTTTTATTGGAAATTCAGATATACAGAGTGGAAGAGAGATAGAGAGGAAGATCTGTCCATTGATTTACTCCCAAAGTGACCATAACAGCCAGTGCTGAGCAGATCCAAAGCCAGGAGCCAGGAGCCTCCTCCGAGTCTCCCACATTGGTGCAGGGTTCCAAGGCTTTGGGCCGTCCTTGACTGCTTTTTCCCTGGCCACAAGCAGGGAGCTGGATGGGAAGTGGAACTGCCAGGATTAGAACCGGTGCCCATATGGGATCCCAGCACATTCAAGGCAAGGACTTTAACCATTACACTATTGCGCTAGGCCCAAATTAGCTTTAACATTGAATAGATCACATATCACAGTTCTCAATGTACTATCTTACATAACTACCACTTTGTGGTTAAAAATGCTTGAGAAGCAGACAACAGGGAAAAACTAAGTCCATTACCATTTCTAATCACAGAAAGTTATATTTCACCAATTCTCTGATACTTTTTTCACATTTTGACATCTCAAAAGCTGGGATGTCTGAGAGATGTGTGTTAAACTTTCCTTGACAGCATTTTAAAAAATATTTATTTTATTACAAAGTCAGATATACAGAGAGGAGGACAGAGAGGAAGATCTTTTGTTCATTGATTCACTCCCCAAGTGACCGCAATGGCCAGTGCTGTGCCGATCCAAAGCCAGGATCCAGGAACTTCCTCCAGGTCTCCACATGGGTGCAGGGTCCCAAGGCTTTGGGCCATCTTCGACTGCTTTCCCAGGCCACAAAGCAGGGAGCTGGATGGGAAGTAGGGCTGTGGGACTAGAACTGGCGCCCATATGAGATTCCAGTGCATTCAAGGCAAGGACTTAAACCACTAGGCCACTGCGCTGGGCCTGACAGCATTTTTTTTTTTTAATGTGGCACATAAAATAATGATGTATTAATACTGGTGCCTTTGATTTGACAAAATGTTACATAGTTACTGTATTTTAAGTCCAAAAAGAACAGTCTGTCTTGCATAAGCTTTCTCCTATGACTGCATTCTTTTTGATTAGTTCTTTTCCACGTAGCCATTTTTCAATCAAAACAGATAAACAAAAAGGAATAAAAGAGTATCACATTAGAATATCTACTACTTTTTAAAGTCTGTTAACTTTATTGACACCAATCATGAATCAGCCCAACTACTAAAACACCTTCTGCTTCTGGGTGAAATTCCATTTGCTTATGGCACAACTCAAAACACAATTTTCATGTTTATTTTTAAAGATTTAATCCATCGATTTGAAAGGCAGTTACCGAGAGGGAGAGAGATTCTTCCATTGCTTCACTTTCCAAACAGCAGCAACGGCCAGGGTTGGGCCTGCACCAAGTCAGAAGCGTAGACCTTCATCCAGGTCTTCATGTAGTGCAGGACTCCAAGGACTTGGACCATCTGCTGCTGCCTTTCCACAGGTGGGTGAGAAGTGGAGCTGCTGGGACCTGAACTGGCACCTGCAAAGTATGCAACATAACAGGTGGCAGCTCTACCTACAACACCACAATGCTAGCTCCTTCAGCTGGAACTTTAAACCAGTTAAAACCAGTTTAAACTTTAAACTGCTCAGTTCTTAGATTTTTTTTTTTCATCATTGCTGGATTTTCTCCCCACAGTTCCTACTGTCCAGAATGCCTCTTTTTCGTATGTAATAAACCCCCTCTGTCTAGTATTACCTTAAGAAGCCTACCCCTGACAGACCACCCACCCTTCTCCATGTATCTTCTAATTATACCCTGTCCCTCTGTCAGTCATATTACCTTATACCTGCGCTGCAATTAGAACTTGTCTGTATCTCCTGCCACAAAATACTTTTGAGAATAGGGGCCACATTTTTTCTCCTGACACAGTATGGCACTTGAAATTGTTTCGCTGAGGGACTGGTACAGCAGCTTAGCAGCTAAAGTCCTCACCTTGCACACAACAGGATCCCATGTGGGTGATGGTTCTAATCCCAGCATTGTGACTTCCTTTCCAGCTCCCTGCTTGTAGCCTGGACAAGCAGTTTAAAGACAGCCCAAAGCATTGGGGACCCTGTATCCACGTGGGCTCTTGGCTCCTGGCTTCAGATCGGTTCAGCTCTGGCTGTTGCGGTCACTTGGGGGGTGAATCAGTGAATGGAGGATCTTCCTCTCTGTTTCTCCTCTCTATATCTGACTTCCACACCCCCCCAAAAAATCCTTAAAACAATGAGTTTGCATTAGTAATAAAAACACAAAGATACCAAGAAAAAAAATATTAATAACCTGCTGAATCATGATTGCAGTACCCATCAATGTTAGTGCCATCAAAACTTAATGAGGTTTGTTACTGTGTCTTGTTAAGTGCTGCACCATTCGTATCACTTCTTATCCAACTAATTATAGTTATACAAGTATGCTTCCTAGTAGGTGGGGGCTTAAGATCAGAGATATGCTATCTCATAATTAGTAATTACTGCAAAAATGTTTCAGTGAAATTTTTAGTTCTTGGTCATCAACTAAAATTTTCTAAAGATTTATTTGAAGGCAGATAGAGGAATAAAGGAAGAGACAGGTTTTTTTATCCACCGGCATGCTCCCAAATAGCTACAACTGCCATGCTTGCGCCATGCCAAAGCCAAGAACCAAGAACTTGGATCTGGATCTCACACATGGGTGGCAAGGATTCAGCCATCATCCGCTGTTTCCCACGTGTCAGCAGGGAGCTGCCCTGGAAGCAGAAGCAGCAGCACTCTGGCAAGGATTGCCTATCCTACACTAGGCCAACCCCTACAATTTTAAAGTCTTAAAATTTGGAAAAGTTGCCCATTTTCACTCTCCTGGGTTCTTAGCTTTTTCACAGCTTTTCTGAAGCCCTATTGAAGTTCATTTCAGATCATAATTCATTCCATGGCATAACTCAAGTGGATGTGAAGATCTGAGCAACTAGCTCCTTTGAATCAGTTGGCTGCCATTGTCAAAATCTACCATAAACATGTTATTTCACATTTGAGGTTCAAGATCCTTGAGGTAACTTTTAATTGTAGTGGACTGGGACACAAGGGAGGACTAAATATTTTGTATTTTATCCATCCTTACTCTTGCTTAAAAAAAAAAAGAGGAAAGAACACTACCAACTGACTTAAAAGTCCTTTTTGTTACTATTAAGTGTCTATTTTTAAAATTTCTCTGAAAGGCAGACTAAACTCTTCCATTCTTTCACTTCCCAAATCCATGAGGACTGGGATTGGGCAAGGCTACATCCCAGAGCCAGGAACTGAATCAAGATACATCATGTGCGTATTAGGGGACCAACTAAAAGGTAGACATTAACAAGAACCTAAAATGAGCAAAGGAGCTGGCACTCAAACCCATGTCCTCCAGCATGGGAAGCAGGTGTCCCAAGTTGTGCCTTAACCACTGCATCAAATATCCAACCTGTTTTATCTTGTAAGCTTCAGTTCCTTTTGGATTTGATTCTTCAAGAAAAATTATTTCAATTATGGAGAGCAAAGAACAGAAAAGGAAAGATCTTTAATCTGCTGTTTCACTCTCCAAATGGCCACAAACAACTGGATATGGGCTGATCTGAAGCCAAGAGACAACAGCTTCTTCCCAATGTCCCATGTGGGTCCAGGGGCCCAACTACCTGGGCGATCTCTTCTGCTTTTGCGGGTCACCAGCAGGGAGCTGGATTGGCCAGAGCTGAGCCAATCTAAAGCCAGGAGCCAGGAGCTTTTTACAGGTCTGCCACAGTGTTGCAGGGTCCCTAGGCTTTGGGCTGACCTTTTCCAGACTTCAAGAAGAGAGCTGGATGAGAAGCGGGGCCGTATCTAAAAGGCCACAAGAACAAGAAGAGAGGCTCATGTTGAGAAAACAAATGGGATAACATGCAAGGCTCTAGGTATTTATTATCTATAGAGTAAGTAGTAGCCAATAAGTGTTTTAAACAAGCAAGTAAAGACCAAGAGTGGACAGATCAACTTACAAGTATGCTGAAGTGGTTCAAAGTAGTTTTGTTTAATATTTATTTGATATGGCATTTGATAATTTAGACCACCAGCTCAACTGAAATGGAAATGGTTTTACACATATTTTTATTAGAGACAGCTCCTATTTCTTGAGTGCTCCCAATTGCCTGTAGTATTTAAGCCTGAGTTAGACCAAAGCCAGGAACCAAACACCCAATCCAGCTCTCCCAAGTGGGTTGGCAGAAAGTGAATTACTTTAGCCTTCCCATGGTATTCATCATCCTAAAGCTGGAGGAACCAGTACTGGGTATTAAACCCATGTATACAAATATGGGTACAACAAATGCCTTTGAGGTAGGCAGCCAGGGTGGCATTGCAAGCTGCTCTTCCACCTGTGGCATGGGCATCCCATATGGACACTGGTTGATGTCTGGTTGCTCCACTTCTGATCCTGCTCCTTGCTTATAGCCTGGGAAAGCAGTGGAGAATGGTTCAAGTCTCTTTGGCCACTAGTCCAACGTGGGAGACTCAAAAGAAACTCTTGACTCTTGAGTTGAGAGCTAGTTTTGGTATATCAGGTTAAGTCACTGAATGCTATGTCAGATTGCCAGTTTGAATCCCAGCTGCTCTGCTTCAAAAGTAGCAGACAGCCCAAGTAACTGGTACCCTTGCACCCACATGGTAGATGTGAATTGGCACTGCAGATTCCTGGCTTCGACCTTGTCCATCTATGGCTATTGTGGCTAGTGAAGGAATTAACAAGCAGAGGGAAGACTGAGACCTTTCTCTGCTGCTCAGTCTTTCAAATTTGCGCCCAAATGCCTACAACAGCCAGTGTGTAGCAAGACAGAATCCACAAGGCAGGAACTCCATCTTGATCTTCCATCTATGTGGCAACAATTCAAGCACTTGAGCCACGATCTGGTTCCTTCCTAGAGTTGCAGAAAGCTAGATCAGAACCTGAGGCGGATTCAACCCCTGGCACTCCAGTACAAATGCAGGCATCTCAAGCAGTGGGTTGATGCACTAAGTCTTAGTACTTAAACAACACACAATGACTTAATGGGCATTTCAATTTTAGACCAGATGCCTGCCACTAGATGAACATATTTAATAGTCAATACAGAAGATCGGTAATCACTGATAACTGCTTACAAAGCTTATGGTTTGTACACTTTAAACAATGTATAGTACCATATATAGCAACACAGAATATTTTAAGCACAAAGTGGATTCTATGGGGGAGAAATGTTACTTTTAATGATATATACAAACTTGCTCGGAACAAAAAAAGAGGACAGAACCAAATCTTAAACTCAGACATTCTGAATTCAAGACTGGAAGACACTGTGTGGTACAGGGGCTAACTAAATTTTGCATTCAGTAGTATTTTTTTTCCTTTGGTAAAAATGCTACAGAATAAGCATTAACTTTTGAATCTCACAATAGGTCATGTTTGACACAGTTCTGTTGGATGACTTTGGGGAAAAGAAAGCTAAGAAAAAGATCAACTTACAACTGTCTCAAGCAGGACTTTGCAAATAGAGTTAATTTTTAGTCCAGCATTGATAACACTCCTACAGTAAGCACAGGAAAATGTTAAAAGTTAGATAATGAAAAAATACATTCAAGATTGATAAATTTACCTTACACCAGAAACCAAAACTATGTTTCTCTTTCTTCTTTGCTTTTGTGTGTCCTGGTCAAACAACTCCACTTTAAAGTTCTTGAGAGGTGGGGAGATATGTACGAGGAACCCTGACTTACCTGGGTTAGTTGTTACCAGAGTAGAACTTCTAAACACCATGGTAGGCAAAGCCTAGACATTTCCAATTCATGCACTTATGTGATTATGGTTGCCACTAAACCTCCAGACTTCCTAGTACTATTTCAAAGGTTACTTTACCAAAATGGTTTGAATGGAGTTCAAACTGTATTTCTAACATTATCCTGAGTCATTTCTCTACTTCTCCATCTCTCAGAAATCTATAATGATCATTATATGCTGAGTATTTCTGAATAATTCTTACTTTAATCATTCTGTCTCAGGCATATTCCAATAGCTAAACAGAAAAAAACTATCAAAACATGTTGCAATTTGGATTCTAAAATTCCATAAATATATTTATACACAGAGCAATCAGCTAGTGGTATGAGTAAATACATACATTTACGCACATAAATATATTAATATCAAGAGGCCAAGATAATTTCCATAAGTAATTTATTATTTACTTCTAGAACATTTCAAAGTGCTCACCAAAATTTCATATACTTTTACCTTCAAGTGTGTAGCTCTTGACTTTAAAAAAATTCACATGGAGAACTCTGGCAAATAATTTGCAAGAACATTCTTATGGAAGGGATGAACTAACATTGTAGGCTTTCAAAGTCTTAGATTTTGCAAAGGTAGAGCACACTGATTACAATGTAAAAACTTTTTTCTTAAGGTAGGGGACATGTCTGTCTAACTAAGCAGCTTGGATTCGTAACAAGTATAAATACCTTATACATAGTACAAACAAGTATGTGATTTAAACTATGAAAGAAAAAAATTCATTTCCTTCAGTAACCACTCAATAAGATTTTCAGATAGTTTTCAATATTGAAAACTACAAATAGAAAAGAAAGATTGTGTGCAGTTGTGCAAAAAGTAATTAACTCCTTTTATAAAAAGTTTCATTTGCATAGTTAATTTTTAGTCATACACAGACTATAGTAAAGAAAGTGGAAATAAATCAGAGGTAATATCAACCACGAGACAGAACATAGTTTAAGAGGCAATTCAGCAACGTACAGCTTTCTTCAAACACAATGTGCTGACAGAATCCATTTCAAAATAACCACAATAATTTTGGAGTATGTTCTTCCTCAGCCCAAGTCTGAACAAAAATATTTTAGATGGCTGCTTTGAGAATATTATAGCAGAGTTATTTTTGATGATTAATCATATTTAAATATTTTTCTTGGGCTTAAAATGTATTTATGCATCAAATAAAAATAGGGTAAAGCTAAGCTTTATTTAATGGTAGCTTATTAGGACTAGAAAATTATTACCAAACTGACCAACCTAAAAGAAATTAGAATATATATACATACGTAACTATCCTACACATTGTACACTGACAATTAAAATTATTTTTTAAAAACAAAACCCTCAGATAAATTAAAAGTGCATTAAGTATTTCTGGGTTGCTTTTGGCACAGTAACACTGCTATAAGTTTTTGCAAATTTGAGATGGAAGTGTTTTCAACAGAATAAGACACCACAATGAAGGCTTCATGAATAATTTATTCCATTTGAAGTTTCTTTCTTTTTTTTTTTTTGTTGCTTTTGTTGTTTTTTTTAAAAAGTATAAACTTTTTCATTTTCCTCAATCACAATTTGTACAACTCAGTGTTATGGCATTCGGCAGCAATAGTGTTTGTTCCTTATTCTTTGTCACGTTAAAAAGAAAAGCAATTGGACCATATTAAATGTTACTACTCAACAACAACTTTAAAACGCCCCTTCATAAAGTGACCAAGCTATTGAGAGGATTGATGCTGATATGTCCAGTAATGACATTACAAATTGTACTTTAAATTCAGCAACTTTAAGGTCCACGAATCCAGTTTCTATCTTAAAACTCCATGAATACATCAACCTGAGGAGTATTTTAGGTCCCAAATCCAGTTTTTGAATTCCTACTCCGAAAAAAAAAAAAAAAAAACCAAACCACATATAAAAATTTAAACCACAATTCTGGGCCCATTAAAACATTAAGAGAAACCAAAATGTGATTTCCAGCTGATTTGGTGGGGAGGGAAATAAACACGTATGTTAAAAAGGTTTTGCCATAATTTAGACAACTAAAATCTTAACAGGAAACCCAGGCCAAAATACCACTCATGCAACATTAAATGTAATAATAGACTGATATGAAATGCCACAGTGGAGAAGTAGCAAATTATATGATGCGACAGCATTTAAAAACTTCCTTTTAATCTATTCAATTTGAACATTTTAAATAATGCAACATAGTATTTTGATATTACAGTATTAACATAGTGCTTGATTAAAGATCTGCAAATCTTTGTTGTAACACATTAAGTTAAAAAATTACTTCAGAAGGTAAATATGAAGACGAAAGGAGATATTTTAATACAGTAATCTCTGCCATACTGACAATTGAGTACGAATACAGCTGAGGATGGCTGATTAAGTACTAAGAGCTCAATTTTAGTGGTTTAAGAAAAGTTTAGAAATATTTAAAAATTACAGCTACTTTAAAATTTAAGGATTACATATAAGTACACTTGGTGGCCTTCTGGCCAAACAATAGGGTGTACAGAAATTTATTATTCATACAGTGTTAATTCACAGTCCTGATAACTGAATGGCTTGCAGAAGAAAGGTATGGCTAGATGTTTCTCACTTGCTGGAAGCAGACATTATATAGCTAATCTTATTTAAATGCCATGATATTGAACTTCCACCCTGCTTCATAATGGATAACTACACCCAACCCAAAACAAAACAAAACAAAACACCAAAACACACGTACAGACATTATCACTGTAAGGAAGAAGTCAAGCTGTTGGTAATCCACTGGCATAAAGTAATAATATTTTGCTTATCTATATAAATAAAACATGATTACCCATACCTGTCTGTGACAGTACATTAGGAAATCAGAACCATCATCTTGTACAAAAGGCTTCATTTCTTTTTTTCCCCAAGTCAGCTGACCTTTTCTAATGGCTATTTAATAATTTTCAATTGAGTGTGAACTGGTAAGGGAAGGAAAAAGTCTTTTCAGCGAATCCTGTATATTTGGGAACTATTCCCTGATTTTCAGATAAAATAAATTGTACACTGGGTTCCCTCCTTATGGCTCTATATAAAAGAACTTTCAAGGAGTCATTTTTTTTTTTAACAATCTATTTTCAAACTGAGGTGTGGTTATCATATGTTAGTGATTTTAAGCAACTGAGAACATAGTTTTAATTTTTAATAACATATATAAAAATGATATTAATTTTGTAGAAATTCCAAATAAGCATCCTTTCCCTCAAATCTCAGACAAGTTTTTGTTTTAAAATAAACTATATAACTTGTGGTGCGTAGAATAATTTAAAAACAAATGAAGAGATGGAATCTTCAGATTTAGTATCAAAATATATTGACCACAGAGATTGATTATAGTCTTAAAGAAATTGTTGGAAACCCTTGTCATCAACTGTGTTTTCTTCATAGAAAAAAACACTTGCTAATGTTTTTATTTACACAATTTGATGAAGTAATATTGTTCATAAGAAAGTGATATTTATGCTAAGCAGATTATTTACATACAAAACAAGTTCCAGTAAAAAAAAAATAAAATATCAAATTAAAATCCCAATGGTGGTACCTCATTCTTTACTTAGCCTTTGTATTGTGTTTTTCAGAGGAAAATACTAATGTAAATTATAGAGTCAATACATAATTATTGTATGCAATTTGTTACTGTTGGCAATGTCATCTGGAGGAAAAGATATTCACTATTAAAAATAGTTTTGTAAATAAATGGATCATCCCCTTGTAGATCACTAATTAACATACAAATATGAATTTTGTTAGACTGCTTCCAGGAAAGATAGGTAGACTTGGTGACTGTGAATTCAAGTCAGCAATGCAGATAGGAGGCTAACTTGGGCTCTCTGGTGAGTAGCACTGTAGAAAGGATTACTGGGAAAGTCTGCATAAAAGCAGTTATCTTGGCATGTGCAAATAAGAAGGGGTAAAAGCTGTACTGAAGGAAGGGGTGAATTAAAGTCCCTACAATTCAATCCCTTCTTTAGGGAGGTGAGAACCTCCTTGGCATCTGCCCTATCTTAATCTGAGCTGTGTTAAAGAAAAGCACAGACTCTGGTGTTTGGGACTGCCATCTCCAAACCAAGAAAATTTAATAAATAAAAAAGGAAAAGGGAAACAGGTTAAGTTTAGAACTGATTCTTTCACTAGTGGAATAGAGTTTGAATACCAGAATTCACTGAGAATCTATTTACACCACAGTTTGATTGCACACACACACACCCAAACATATGCATACACTCACACACATTCCCAATCTTTAATTTAATAATAAAAAAGTCAAACAATCAAGAGTGATTGCTCTTAAAATAATTTGTAAAATGCCTAGAGCTGGGCTAAATTTCAACCTTGTAGCAGATCCTGAAGATAAATTTCATATAATTAATAATATCCCCATGCCTAAATGTGCCACTGTTAAAACTGAAAAAACTTTAAGCATTTAACATTAAACACCAAAATTAGTTTAAGCATTCAGTAGCAAATGTTTTTCTTGTAAAACTAAGTTTCTTTCACTGGAAATGGCCTGAAATATTAGTCATAGCCCTAAACCATAGTACAAAATATAACTGAAGAATTCTCATTTTATTCTAAGTTAAACCACCTAACAATATCACTTGTATATTGCCATCATGTTACTCTGTAAAGGTGTGATATATAAAATGCTGTAAGACCCGGTACCTTTTCCATTTATAAACACAGTGAACTTCATTACTGTACATGTACTCTGCAACTACAGCTTAGCTGTAAATTCTCCACACACAATGGTATGGACATTATTTCTCCTCTATCCCCATTAAACTGTACATTGAGACAATACAAATTTACTGTCCCACCCACCCCCTTACAAAAAAATAATACTCTAAAAGCAACCCTACTGCAACTTTTTAATTAAGACGATTACATATATTTTAGACCAATTGCTTTAAAGCAAGAAGGCAGTATAAACCTTCTAGGAAAATTTTTATAAAAGAGGTTAAGAAATATAAGACAATTTATACATTTAAAAACTTACAATAAATAAGAGATGCAGGCATTTTTGAATACTAGATACTATAATCCAATACAAGAACATCTTGATGTTCTAAAGCCATATGTTGAAATTCATTGTTCCTCATGTTTCCTCTCCATGCTTTTAATATTCATTTTACATGACTGGGTACTATGGCTCATTACTCTTCACAAATACTGTGACTGGAAAAAAAAGGTTAATTTTGCTACAAAAATGTTATAATACGTTTTGTATTGATCAGTCATCATCCTAAAGAGTTCAGTAAAGTCAATGAAAAATAGCAGGGTTATAGCCCCCCCAAGTCAAAACAATATTTGTTGAAGTAATAAGAATTAGACCCCATCACAAATGACTCTCACTGAGAAGATAAATTTAACTTAATCCTGCAGCGAAATATCCTTTTTCCTTGTTCTTTTCTTGCACAGTTCTATCAAATGAAGATCACAGCATATTCATGATAAAGTTATATAATTGATTCAGCACCACAAAATGAATTGGGAGACATGAGCGTCTGTCCTGGATTGCAGGGTCACAGGTTAGCCAGGAGAGTGCATTGTACTGTTCCAAAACAAACCTGAAAAGAAATAAACCACGTAAGTCATAAATCTATTTGCAACAGAGATTTTTGGAAGTACTTTTCAATTATACTATTAAAGCTTCAAAGTCACCTAAAAAAAAAAAAACAGTGAAAGATATGAAACAGAATCCTTGGGGGAAAAAATTATCTTCATAAAATGTGCTGAGAAATAATAACCTGTGTTAGGAAAACCCTGATTCTGAACAACACAACTGAAAACTGTAAACTCTTATCAAAACTGGAGAAAAATAAGAATTGACATTATATTCTTTTATAATTGCAACCCAGAACCCTTAATGATAAAACTGCTATACCTGAGGACATCTGAAGTCTGATTTGAGTCAAGTGGGTGGGAGTGTTTACTGTGAAGCAGCTCATCAGATTGCACTGAAGGCACGTGGAGGTGCAAAGAGGCCTAAAAAGTTAACACGGAATCAATCAGTTGACTATAAGGAAAATAATGTAATACCTACTTTTACCTAATTTTTCCATTCTGTCTTTTTCTGATGAAACACATTTTAGCTTAATGTTATGAATGAGAGGAAATATACAAATTCTTGGTCTACTTGCTTAACTAATTCATTACAAAACTAATTATTAAGTGCAAAACTCACATTGATTTGTCCTATATTTTCTTTAGCCTTACTGTTTTTGAGATGACAAAATAATTGACCCAAAGGATTTCCAGTTATTTTCAAGGTGTAACTTGCCTAAATGTATGAAATGAATGTTTAACTGGAACAAAGCCTCAGAATGTAAACTATGCAGACAAAGCTAGGTCTAGCACTAAAAAAGCTAGCAGGAATAAGCTTATGCAAATGCTTTACTTACATAAACTGTCAGCACAGCTTTGGTTCAACTGTGAATACTCTTAAGTAATACAGTGCACAAATTCCTTCTTTGCGCAATTTCATAACAGGCTTAGCAATGCCTGACACACCCATTTAGATATGGCAATGAAGAGTGAGAAAAAGGAATGCATTACTCTTCTTTGCATTTCACCTGAATGAAGTAAATCATTTTGTTTGTAAGACAATATATATCAGAGTTACAAAGATGGTGGTTTCACTAAAGAAATTATTAGATCTCTCTGTACCGTAAATGATGTGTTTTTTATATTTAGGTGCAGTCGCCTATGCAACTGCTATATGTATAAATTCTTGTTTAGTATATTCAGGAATATAACTAGAGAAGTTTATGTTAGAACTGCAAAGTCTTTATGAGTTACAATGAAACTTTCACATGGCATCACTATAAAATGTTATTAGTACCAATGCTTTAACTCATATGATAAAGAAATTTTAAATTATCTAGGTAACAGTCCACTATTTTTCCAAGCAAAGAGAAACATACCACGTGGTTTTACTGCTTATAGTACAAAACTAAAATGGGGTGCATGGAAAATAAGGTGAACAAAAATCATGGCCATTGATGCCTTACCTGGTGATTCAGAACCAGAAGTTCTAATCTTGTTACACTGTATCTGAGAGGTGAATGCCCACTTTACACTATCCTTTCTGCAAATAAATATTGAGTAGAAAAAATCTGGATAGTCCTTTGAACTTTTTGTACAGGTTTCCTTACAAAAATGTGTATTGAAACACTTGGTTCATTGAGCTATTAGTAGGTGTTATTCAATCCTTCTCTTGTGTACTAGAATAAGTTTGGGCAATGATAACTGAAGTTATTTATTGTTATTTTTCTAGAGCCTTTGATGCACACGCATGATTATGATTACAAGAGAGCAGACAGCATATGTAACCCTTTCCAAAGAACAAAAGAACTCTTCACTTCATAGAGACTCCAAAGATACTACTACTCCAGAGAAAATTCCTTGCGAATATATCCAAGATGTAATCTCTATACAGATGTTCTATACAACATCTATTGGAAGAGGAAGAAAAGTCATATACTGAAGCTAATTTTTAACCTGGTTGCTGCTGTTTAAACAAATCTCATAAACAGTCAATTCAGGTGATCAGCTATTGTTTTCTTTATGAATGGACCACAGAAGTCCATTGTTTAATCCTTAATGTCACTAACTGAATGGGATGTCATCAAGATATTTACATTTAATAGCAATATGATTGAAGGACAGCAAGAAGCCCACTACCCACTAAAACATAAACACAAGAAATTAGAAAACATGCTATCCAAATTTGACCCTGTATCTAAAATTCAGTTCACAAGTTTGAAATGGCATGACATACAGGATTAAAAATGGTAAATTTATGTAGGCTTATGTAGTAGGTAAATCAGATATGAATTTGTTATTTTGGAATAATAGCAGCAGCAACAGTAAACTACCTTAATATTTAAGTTATATCACTTACTAATAATTACTTATTTTGCTAAAAATAAATAAATAAATAAATAAATCAGGGCCCGGCACAGTAGCCAGAGACTAAAAGTCCTTGCCTTGCATGCCGGGATCCCATATGCGTGCCAGTTCTAATCCTGGTGGCCCCACTTCCCTCCAGCTCCCTGCTTGTGGCCTGGGAAGGCAGTCAAGGATGGCCTACAGCCGTGGGATCCTGCACCCATGTGGGAGACACACTAGAGGTTCCTGGCTCCTGATCAACTCAGTTCTAACTGTTGTGGTCACTTGGGGAGTGAATCATTGGAGGAAGGATCTTCTGTCTCTCCTCCTCTCTGTATATATGATTTTACAACAAAAGTAAAAATAAATCTTTAAAAACAAATAAGTAAATCACTATGTATCTGAAAATCATTACTTATGGAATACTTAATAGAAATTATGCAGTTAGGAAGTTTTTATAAGGAGAGAGTAAATGACAATAAAAAGCTGGGATTATTACAACTGTTAATTCTCAAAATAATGAACTGTTAATTCTCAAAATAATGCAACCTGAGAATACATTAAGATGTAATGCAAAAAATAACACAGTAACAATTAAGAAATTCAAATCTGGGAGGGTAGATGACAGCATCATGGTGTAGCTAGTTAAGCCACAGCCAGCATCACACATGGGCACTGGGATGAGAGCCAGTTGCTCCACTTCAATTCAGGTACTTGGGCCGACCCCAGCAGTTGTAGCCTTTTGGGGAAGTTAACCAGCACATGGAAAATTTCTGTCTTTAACTCTTCCCACTTCATTTGAATAAATTAAGACACATTGGGGGGAAGAGGTCCACTCTTTAGTCTGACACCCACTATAAATCCATGGATTTAGGCAGGTGAGATTTTCTGAATGTAGCTCACTTAGAAAATAAACAGGTTAGAAAGATGTAAGATTTCCTTTGATTCTAGACTTTATTTCCACATGGATAAGTTGCAAATAATAATCAAAACCAAGGTTATCCAGAATCTGACTTCAGGAAAAAGCTCAAACATCAGTGTAAAAATTGTGATAGTTTCACAATTACATAATTTTCTTTGTGATCCTGCCAATAGAGTTTGCAGTGGCATCTTAGACAAGTTGTAAGGATTCAAAACCCCACTGTTATATTTCCCAGTAATTATACCATAAATTATGATTATATAGGAATTGACATCAAAATAGTAATACCTTAAGAAAAAGGGGACACTGGTATTGTGCTTGAGGACATGCTGACCAGAACCAGTCAGGTAATGGACCCGCTTTGGCAGTTGATACGAAGTAACCAAGGGCCAATGGTTGCTGAAGAATATTAGTTACTTCATCATGAGATTCTGTTGAAAGTAGCCGATCAGTACCCTGACCCTTGAAAAGAAAAAAATTGAAAATATTTTAGTTCATTCAACATACCTAGATATCATAAATAAATCTATAAAAAACAGGATATTATAGTCTTATCACTACATGATGATCAATTTAAAAAGAATGCAGGAAGATCCTGAAAAAAATCAACAGCTATGCTCTTAGGAAGAGTATAATTATTAATAGTATTATAAGAATGAGCTCTTAAGAGTTGCACTAGGGAAAAAAATATGACAAAATCTTATTTTTAGGATGTATCTACTTGTGCATTTATTTGAAAGATAGAATGACTCAAAAAGAATGTGGGAGACAAATTTTTTTTTTAATTTGTTTTTTTTTTTATTTGGGAAGGCAGATTAACAGAGAGAAGGAGAGACAGACAGAAAGATCTTCCAACCACTGATTCACTCTCGACATGGCTCCAACAGCTGGAAACAAGATGATCCATAGCCAGGAGCCAGGAGTTCTTGTGGGTCTCCCACACAGATGCAGGGTCCCAAGGCTTTACTCTCTCTGGTCACAAGCACAGAGCTGGAAGGAAAGTGAAACAGCCGAGACAAGAACCAGTGCCCATGTGGGATCCCGGTGCATGCAAAGTGAGGATCTAATAAGGCTATCAAACCAGGTGCCTAAATGGTGGAAGTGGCAGTTTTTTCGTTTTTTAAAGATTTATTTATTTTGGGGGGAAAGTCAGATTTACAGTAAGAGAAGGTGAGACAATCTTCCTTCTGCTGGTTCACTTCCAAATGCAACTGCAACTGCCAAAGCTGCACTGATCTGAAGACAGGAGCATCTTCCAGGTCACCCACGCGGGTGCAGAGTACCAAGGCTTTGGGCCATTTCCACAGTTTTCCCAAGTCATAAACAGAGAGCTGGATAGGAAGTGGCCCAGGTGGGACACGAATCGACACCCACATGGGAAGCCAAGCTTGGAGGTGGAGGATTAACCAGTTGAGCGAACATGCCCCAGATAAGATCTGCTGGCCTTGGTGCTAGAGTGCTGAGCATAGCTGCCTTCCAGATAAGAAAGATAATCCATCTGCTGGTTCACTCCCCAGATGGTCACAACAGCTGCTCCTAGGCGAGGACAAAGCCAAAAACTTAGACACCACCTAGGTCTCTGGTTTGGATGAGAACAACTCATGTTCTTAAGTCATCCCTCTGCCACTTGCCAAGGAGCTTCAGCAGGGAGCTGGAACTGAAGCAGAACAGCCAGGATTTGCAACCCTATGTATTTCAATGTTGGCCCCTGCCAATGTTAACCAATTTTATTATTATCCCAAGTCTATGCTGTTAGTGAAAACTATTCTAGCAAAAACTATGAAACGCTCTACGAAACCTCTGATTTCATCAACTAATTCTTGAGAGCCATGCCTTCCCAAAACAAATCTATCCCATAGATAAAACAAAGTAGTGTTTTGGAAAACATGTCAAAATAAAGAGAAAAGCATTAAGTGATGTTTGTTTCTTCAGGATTAGTTACTATATCTCTTGGTATTTAAGAAAAAGTTTAAGGGGCCCAGCACTCAGGTATAGCAAGCTTAAGCCACATATTGTAATACCAGGAAACTACACAGATACCAGTTCCAGTTATGGATGCTCCACTTAAAATGTACCTCCTTGGGCCCAGCACGATGGCGCAGTGGTTAAAGTCCTCGCCTTGCACACCTGGGATCCCATATGGGCGCCGGTTCTAATCCCAGCGGCCCTGCTTCCCATCCAGCTCCCTGCCTGTGGCCTCGGAAAGCAGTCAAGGATGGCCCAAAGCTTTGGGACCCTGCACCCACATGGGAGACCCAGAAGAGGCTCCTGGCTTCGGATCGGCCGTTGCGCTCACTTGGAGAGTGAATCATCAGATGGAAGATCTTCCTGTCTCTCCTCCTCTCTGTATATCTGTCTTTTGAATAAAAATAAAATAAATCTTGGGCCCGGCGCTATAGCATAGTGGTTAAAGTCCTGGTCTCACACACATAGGGATCCCGTATGGGTGCAGGTTCTAATCCCAGCAGCCCCACTTCCCATCCAGCTCTCTGCTTGTAGCCTGGGAAAGTAGTCAAGGATGGCCCAAAATCTTGGGACCCTGCACCCACGTGGGAGACCCAGAAGTGCTCCTGGCTCCTGGCTTTGGATTGGATCAGCTCCAGCCATTGCAGCTGCTTGGGGAGTGAACCATTGGAAGGCAGATCTTCCTCTCTGTCTCTCTCCTCCGTGTATCTGCCTTTCCAATAAAAATAAATAAATCTTTAAGAAAATAACAAAAAATTCGTTAAAAAAAAAAAAAAGAGGAAGATGCTACAATGCCAAAGATTTTGGGAGAGGCAGGTGTCTTGGTACAACAGATTAAGCCATGGCTTGGGACTCAGCTGCTTTACTCCAATGCAGTTCTCTGCTAATGTGCCTTGGAAGCAGTGGTTAATGGCTCAAGAGCTTGGGTTCCTGCCACTGGCTTTACCTAGGCCAGCACTATCTGTTACCACCATTTAGAGAATGAGCCAGCAGATGGAACAAACTACTCTTCAACCTTTTAAATCAATAAACCTTAAATAAATAAATAAATAAATAAGAAGGGGAGACAAATTTTAGTGTCCAAACAGTATAATAAGCTGTAAAATAAATATATGTTGAAGGAAGTTAGCTGACTAAAAGTAAAAGTGGCTTCATTCAGGTGATGGAATTATTCTTTGTTACATGTGCTTTCTCTCAATAACCTCATTTCTTAGCAGTTAAAACATGAAAATACGCACAGTGAGACTGGACAGATGCCTCCCTCCCTATGTTCAAAATGTAGATACTTCATATATACATACTAAAATAACAAAGTGACAATTATATTCAATTTCACCAAAATATTATTCAACTCAGCATGATCAGTTTTGACTTCAAACAGAAGTACAAGACTGCCTGCTTTCTTAATTGATAAGCATAAGAAGGGGAATGGTGCTCAATATTTAACTTCTTTTGTCTTTCTTCTAAAGATTTATTTATTTTTATTGGAAAGGCAGATTTACAGACAGATAGAAACACAGAGGGAAAGATATTCTGTTCGTTACGGTCTTGTGCAATAGCCTAGTGCTTAAGTTCTCTCCTTGCATGTGCTAAGAGCCACATGGGTGCCAATTCTTGTTCCTGCTGCTCCATTTCACTTCTAGTCTCAGCTTCTGGCCTGGAAAAGCAGTAAGATGGATGAAACCATTGGGACCTTGCACCCATGTGGGAGACCAAGATGAGGATCCTGGCTTTTGGCTTCAGATGAGCATTCCATACGCATTTTCTGGTTTCCTGTTCATATGCTTGGGGAAAAGCAGATGATGGTACAAATAACTCACTCCCTACCACCCACATGGAAGACCTGAATAGAAGTGTAGTTTTGGGCTTCAACCCAGCTTAGCATTGGCTAATACAGCTATTTGCTGAGTGAACCAGTTAATAGAAAATACACCAGTTGCTATGCTTGGCTTCCCTCTCTCCTCTCTCTGTGCCTTTCAAATATATATATATATTTTAAATGTATAAAAAACTGATGTCTATGAGGCAAGAGCATGAATATACTGATTATCACCTCTTGCTAATATCCAAGAGAAATCAGAATCTTATTTCATATGTTAATCCCTTACTAAATTAAGGAACAACATTTGGGTAAACTAAACTTTCTAATAGGATTACCTTGCCAGCGTCACCTCCATGGGGGTAATGAGATCCTGGAGAATGCACAGGAGACCCAGTAGGAGATGCAGGAAGGATATTAATGATATCAGGATCCAGATCATCTGCTGTGTCCAACAAATCGAAGATACCCATTGCATCTGCCCCATCTATGCAGAACAAAGAAACAAAAAAACAACCAAATACTTTCCATACTCCATGGTCATATACATAAAATGAATGAATACATTTTAACCAAAACAGGTTCACTAATATTTAATGAGTGTCCACCATGGCCAGAGTATTGTGTAACAATTATATAAATAATTGTACAGAATCAAGCAGATTGTAGGCTGAGTAACGGCCCCCCATAAAGATGTCCATATCCTAATCCCAGCAATTTATGAATGTTACCATAAAGGACTACGTAGATGTGACCAAGCTAAAGATCTTGAGATGGGGAGAATATTCTGGTTTACCCAGGTGTGTTCAATGTGATCACAGAGCTCCTAATGAGAGGGAGGCAGTAGGATTAGAGCTAGGAAAGGAGACAGGATTGGATACTACACGTCTGACATTCAGGATGGAGGAAGGAGCCATATGCAAAGAATGTGGGTGGCCTATGAAGCCAGCAAAGACAAGTAAACAGATTTTGTCCTAGAGCCTTCAGAAGGAATCAACTCGACTAACACATGACTTTAACCAACTTGGACTGATTTTTAGACACTTGATCTCAGAGCTGCAAGACAATATTAAAGTACTTTGGAAAATTCATGGAAAGACAGGATTTGAAGATAATATGAGTTTTCCATGATTTTAAAATATCCTTTGGAAATGGGTGTTAAGCAATTCAGTGAACGGTAATTCAGGCAATAGGAAACTAATGCAAAGCAGGGCAGAAAGTGAAAATGTTTGAAATGAAATAATTTAAAGTATTTTATTACTGAGCAAAATATTAAAATTACTGCACAGTAAAATAAAAAAATAATAACAGGTATCTAGAATTATGTCTTTAAAGATGACATTTCTGCGATTTGCATTGGGGCACAGCAGGTAAGACATTACTTGTGATGACAGCTTCCCATATCAAAGTACAGTCAAGTTCCACCTGCTCTGCTTAACTCCCTGCCAGAAGATAGCAGAAGTTAGCTCAAGAACTTGGGAGAACATGCTGCAGTTCTTTGCTCCAAGTTTCAGCATGGCCCAGGCCTAGCTGTTATGACTATTTGGGGCATACACCATTGGATAGAGGTTCTCTGAATTTCTGCTATCCAAATAAATAAATAAATCTTTTTTAAGATGTCATATTTTGTAAGGCAGATCAGAATAACAGAATACCAATTATTTTCTGTTCTAATAAAATGTATACTGTAAGCTCACCTAGAAAAAACTACTTCCTTGCACTAGCAGTTTATATTACTACTTAAACAAATTTGAGTTGTTGAAATAAAACCAGAATAGTTGTATTCTTCAACAGTTCTGTAGTGGAAATCAGTTGCACAGAGCTGAAATCAGGGATATTACTAAATTAAAATAAGGTCAACAAGGCACCAGCAGGAATGCTCTCCTTCTGCAAGTTTTAGAAGAAAATCATTTACCCTGTCTTTTCAAGGATCCAAATCCCATATTGGCTCACATCCTCTTCCTCATTCTTTGGAGTTAGGCCACAGCATTTTTATTCCTCTGACTTGATTCCCTTTACTTTCATTACAGGGCCTACCATTCTATTGCAGATAATCATCAGACTTTCCTCTTTATGTTTCTCAAAAGAATACATGTAACTTTATGTAGGGATCATCTGAATAATCCAGGATAATCTTGCCATCTCAAGATACTTAATTTAACCACACCTGCTTAGTCTTTTTTCACAATGCAAGATAATGTCCTCAGGTTTTAGGGCTATAACATGGGTATGTTTTGGAAATGGATATGTTTTCAGCCTACCAGAATGATCAATATTTAAAAATTTCCAAAAACAATTGCCTACCATTGTTGGGATTGAAAGCTAAATCCAAATTTTCAGTGGTGTAAGTAGCTGATGCTACTTGCACAGAAGCAGAAGTAGGAAATACAAGTATGTGAGTACATGATGTATCCTGTGGTGTATTTAACTGAGATGTCTGCATGTTAAGAGTGGTGCTTCTTCCAAATACAGAACCAGTTGACACAGAATCTGAAAAAAACAATGAAAAACACCTTCTCTTTTAATAAATGATGTTTTATGTAGTATCAAAATACTTAAATAAATAAATAATTAAATCTACTATAAAACAAAGATAGCTAACCTGGCATAATAACAAAAGAGCCTTGGGGTTCCATTGCTACCAAGCAAGCACTGAGAATGCTGGGAGAGTCTGCAGCAGATATACCACACATTCTACACATGTCTTTGAGTCTTTTACTTAGAGATTGCAAATTTCGACGACTCAGCAAACAGCTCCAATCTGTGGATATCAACAATTGTTCTACAATTAATAATATTCAAAGTAACAATATTAGGGAACCAAAGTTAGAAAACACAATTCATTTTACCTGAAAGCATGAGATACAAAAAAGACAGTCACAGAGACCTTTAAATTGCTGAATGACTCTCCAAATGACTCTAAACAGCCAGGACTAGGCCAGACAGACTAAAGAAGCATTAGTTAATTTAGGTGTATGTGGGAGACACCTAAGAACTTGAATGACTACCTGTTACTCCAGAATGCAAATCAGTAGGAAGTTAGATAACAAGTAGGGAAGGTGGAGCTCAAAACAAGCACTCTAAAAATAAAGAATGTGGCCATCCCTAGCAGCAACTTAACTACTGAGCCAAATAAATCCATGTCCTAGCTATATTCTTTAAACAGGAATCATCAAGCCAAAAGTTTGTTGTTGATACTATTCTTTGTCTCTGCAAACTTTTATAACAAATACTAAATTCAATTAGTATGTTCTGAAAATATCCATTTTTCTCTCACACATATGTGGTTTAGAGAGTTTCCATCTGCTGGTTCATTCCCTAAACGGCCACATCTGGGTCAGGACAAAGCCAGAAGCATGCCTAACAGAAGTCCATTAACTTGGATGATTTTCCACTGTTTTCTCAAGCACATTACTCTGATTGGAAGTGTAGCAGCTGGGACTTCAACCTGCACTGTCGTGTAATGCCTGCTCATATGTAATGCATGTTTTATAAACATTAACTTGCAGTGCCACAATGCCAGCTACTGTGGTTCCTTAAAAATCATGAGATGGGTGTGGTTCCTTAAAAATCATCACTGGTGTGATGGCTCTACTGCTTAATCTGTAGCCTACAAGCACAACCATGCCGCATGGGAGCCAGTTGGTGTATTGGATGATCCACATCCAATCCTGTTCCCAGATTATGGCCTGGAAAGCAGCAAAGGATGGCCCAAACCCTTGGGACTTTGCATCGGCATGGGAGACTCAGAGGAAGTTCCTGGCTTTTGGCTTTGGATCAGCTCAGCTCCTGTCAATGTAGCCACTTGAGGAGTGAACCAGCAGATGAGTATCTTTCTTTCTCTGTCTCTCCTTCTCTCTATAAATTTGCCTTTCCAACAAAAACAGATGAATTTTTTTAAGAAGATTTTTAAAAATATTTTTTTTATTTTTATTGGAAAGGCAGATATACAGAGAGGAGGAGAAACAGAGAAAGATATTCCCTCTGATGATTCACTCCCCAAGTGGCCGCCAATGACTGAAGCTGAGCTGATCCAAAGCCAGGAGCCCAGGGCCTCTTCTGGGTCTCCTATGCGGATGCAGGGTCCCAAGGCTTTGGGCAGTCCTCAACTGCTTTCCCGGGCCACAAGCAGGGAGCTGGATGGGGAGCTACATGGGGAGTTGGGTGGTAAACTGGGCTGCCACTGGGATTAGAACCTGTGCCCGTATGGAATCTCCTCACATTCAAGGTGAGGACTTCACGGTCTAGGCTTCTCTGCCGGGCCCAAAATAGATGAATTTTAAAAAAGGAAAAAAGGAAACAGATAACTCTTGCATTTTATTCAGCACATATACCTAGCAATGGTCTCGATGTATGACTAACACATTTAAGTAATACATTATAAAAGCACAAGATTACCTTTCAATTCTCCATGACCAATCCTTCCTAGACGACCAATTACAACTCTCCATGGCAATGAACTCATTTGCACAAGTCCTAAGCACCATTCCCAAAGTTTCTGCAGACCAAACCTTCTGGCAGAACCTTTTTTCCGACGAGCCCTGTAAAGTAGATTATAAAAATAACCAGGAATATTTCTATAATTTATTATGATAACGTCTTAATAGAGCTCAAAAGTCAAAACACTGACTCCTTAATTTTAATGCTTTATATGATTATGTATATCACAACCAAGAATATACATAAATACTCAATTGATCAACAATACTACTTTACACCCATACTATTCTACATCAGCAAAGTGTTTTTCCACATCCATACTATAAGTTTTTCAGGTCATTAATAAGATTCTGTCAGAATTCAATTCAGCTGCTGCAGCAGAAAAACAACCATAAACAATACACAGCTAAACAAAGAGAAATGGTCAGTACAAGGCCAATCCTTGTATGATATATATGCAAGCCCTTTACTAAGCAAACACCTAACAGAAGAACTCTTGCTCAGCAAAACTAATCTTTATTACATATAAACTATACCCTAAACAATGTGTCTAATAAGGTTGCATTTCAATACTTTCATTTTAACAATCATGAAGCAGATAAAATTATCTTCTAGATTTTACAGAAAAGCAAGCTGCCTAAAGTCATGCTTTATATTAAACAAAATACAGGTACCTATTTGGAACATCAATGTTAATGATACAAGTTTCTAACAGTTCTCCATACAGATCTGTACAAGATGCAAGAATCCATCTCTGATCATGTGATAAACAGTAGCCCACGAAAAGAACATTATATTTTTGTCCAGCCTCTCCAAATGTTTCACCCAACTCTGTCTGTTTGTCCTTCACTGGGGCCAGAATGAAAGGAGGCGTATAAAGTCGAATACAGTCTGGTCTCTGTAAAATAAAAAATAGAGATGCTGTGTACAATACTGTATAATCTTAGTCATTAGAAAATGAAAGCCAAACTAAACATTTTACTTACTTTTCCATAAAATCACAAAATATGCAACCATTCAATAACTGAAGTCATGGAAAACATACTTACATCAGGACTTTTAAGAGCAGTTTCCATGGCTAACCCTGGACCAAAGCCTGTCAGTGTTTTCACATTGGTTGATGTTGGAAGTGGTCTCCGACATTGGGTAAAGGCCGAAAAAGCCAGAGATTTTAAATGCTGGGTATAGATTTGCCTGTCTTCATGCTTCACAGGTTGCAACAGGTATTGACAAGGGACAATCTAAGTATAGGCAAATATAACAAATATTAAACTTCTAATAATGAAGCAAAGGAACTATGAGCCTAAGACTCTAAAAACTCCTTACTAGAATGTTTAAACAAAGTCTAATTTAAATTATAATCTAAAGAATTATCTTCTCTTATTTATTATAGAGGTTTTTGAAAGGCATTTGGCCCTGTACTAAATAACTGTATAAGAATCTTTCAAAATGTCAATAAAGGTGACAGTGCAACGGCTCAACTGGCTAATTCCTCGCCTGCAATGCCAGGATTCCATACTGGGCACAGATTAATCTCCTGACTGCACTACTTCCCAATCAGTACCTTGCTGGTGGCCTGGGGAACCAGCAGAGGATGGCCCAAAGCCTTGGGATCCTGCACCTATGAGGGAGACCTGGAAGAAGCTCCTAGCTTTGGATCAATTCAACTGGAGACATTGCTGACATGAGTGAAGTGAACCAGCAGAAGGAATATCTTTCTCTGTGTAGATCTGTCTTTCCAATAAAAAACAAGTAATTCTTGGGCCCAGCAAGGTAGCCTAATGGCAAAAGTCCTTGCCTTATACGTGCCAGGATCACATATGGGCACCAGATCTAATCCCAGCAGCCTGCTTCCCATCCAGCTCCCTGCTTGTGGCCTGGGGAAGACAGTTGAGGATGCCTCAAAGCGTTGGGACCCTGCATCCACATGGCCAACCCAGAAGAGGCTCTGTGCTCCTGGCTTTGGATCAGCTCAGGTCCAGCCATTGTGGCTGCCTGGGGAGTGAATTATCGAAGGGAAGATCTTCCCTCCTCTCTCTCTCCTCTTCTCTGTATATCTGACTTTCCAAATAAAATGAAATAAATCTTAAAAAAAAATTCTTGTTCAATTCCTTCCAATTTTATTTGTAATATGCCCTATTTAAAATTCTTTAAATTTTTAGGCCCATGCCATATTTTCCTGCTTAGGCTTATGAAATTAAAACCTGGATTAAAAAATAACATGGGATCAGTATTTATCATCATTAGCGCAACCTTTTTATTCTTCACTATCACTGTGCTAGGACAGTAAAGTTGGTATTTTATAAGATATCTATATAACATTACAGTATATATTCTTATAACATCTAATCTACATAACTTTAAGTCAAATTAGAATTTTAGAACAATAATTTGAATGCAGGAAATCAGTGTCTTTCAAACACCAAATTGTGTTACAGATATTTAACTCACACTGTTTATCAATGTTACCTGGACAGAAACAGTACTCTTGATATGTGGAGGAAGCGTTTGGACCATTTCCAGGAAGCATCGAAGTAGCCCCAAAGTCCACACATTAGAAGAATTAGTGCTTTCATCTTTATTTTCATAGGTAAAAGGATCGATTATATAAACAACAATTGCAGGTGGATAGGTAATAGCATGTGAATCACCATCAGTGGGGATTCCCACTTTATCCCGATCCATTGAGCTAAATCATGAGGAAGAAAAAAGACAAAAAGTTGTACACTATTGCTTTGACAGACATCAAAGCAAATTCATACTATGCACCACCCCCTGCCTTTTTCTGGTGGGAGGTATACACTGGACATACAATTTCTCAGTATACAAAGTTCCCTGGTTTAGATGGAGAGAGAGAGAAAAAGAGAATAGAATTCTTTTATTATTTTATTATTATTATTATTATTATTATTATTATTATATTTTGACAATCTTTACATAGTTAATTGGGGTAAAAAGGTTCAAGGGCTTTAGGAAAGTGGGTAAGATTATTATTTCCATATTGTTTCCTTCATATTTAAAGGTGGGTATTAATAGAGAAGGCCCACCCAATTTCCCACCCTCTCTAAGGTCCTGGGAGAATAGAATTCTTAAGACTATATAGCATATCAAAAGTTAAGCATTCAATGCTTAAGAGATCAAACAGATAAATGTAAGTCCTACATCTGAGACCAATTTTGGCAGCAGCTACAAAACAAAAAAATTAGCTGGAAATAAAAGCTAGATCAAAAATGAGCTTCCAAACCTATTAAAAATTCTGCTACCCTTTTAGACTATATAAATTCATTTCCTACTTCACAACTTCAGTGGTGAACAAATTACATTCTAATTTTCTGAAAACTTTATCATACTTGAAAGAGTTACAGTGAGAGAGGAAGAGTCAGAGAGACAGAAAGATGATCCATCTGCTGATTCACTCCCCAGATGGCAGCAGTGGCCATAGTTTGGCCAACCTGAAGCCAGGAGCCAAGGGTTTCTTCCAGGTATACCACAGTGTTGCAGGGTCCCAAGAGCCTGGGTCATCCTCCATTGTCTTCTCATACAGGCGACACGGATGGAGTTCCAGGCTCCTGGCTTTGGCTTGCCTCAGTCCTAGCCATTGCAGGCAAATGGGGAATCAACTAGCAGATAGAGGATCTCTTGCCTCTTTCTCTAATTGTGCCTTTCAAATAAATATTTTTTAATGAAAAAGTCTGAGAAACACTATCAATGTTCTCATTATAAAAAACTTGAGCATTACATAAAGCACAATGTATATGTATTATATTACAACCCATTTAGCAGATATGAAAAAAAATTCATAAAACTCAATACTAAGGAAAAATGAAGGATCATTGGGCCCGGCGGCGTTGTCTAGCAGCTAAAGTCCTCGCCTTGAATGCCCTGGGATCCCATATGGGCACCAGTTCTAATCCTGGCAGCTCTACTTCCCATTCAGCTCCCTGCTTGCGGCCTGGGAAAGCAGTCGAGGATGGCCCAAAGCTTTGGGACCCTGCACCCGCACGTGGGAGACCTGGAAGAAGTTCCTGGATCCTGGCTTCAGATCGGCATAGCATCAGCCATTGCACTCACTTGGGGAGTGAATCACCGGACGGAAGATCTTCCTGTCTCTGTCTCTTCTCTTCTCTGTATATCTGACTTTCCAATAAATAAATAAATCTTTTAAAAAAAAATGAAGGATCATAGTTTTTATTTGTGTAAAAATCAGCATTTTTAAAGGTACCTTTCTGATACATCAGGATGTGGCTGAGTAGGGAGTGAAGATGACTCTCCAGAAATTCCAGCTGTCTGTAAAGTTGATGACTGTTGCCCTCCTAGCTGGCCATTTTGAACTGTACTTGCTTGTGTAGATATGGATCCTGTAGCATTACTGTTCATACTGCCAAAGGGTGGAAATGAAGGTAGTTTATTTGATGATACTCCACTATTCAAATTGGAGGATGATGAAGATGAAGTTGTTGTCAAAGTTGAATTAGCTGTAGCAATTGAAGTAGGTAGTGTAACCCCTGAAGTCACTGTTATACTGCTGCTGGCTGAGGGTGCTAGGGTAGCAGATGAAGTATTAGCATTTCCAGTACTTGTCATCTGAGATGGAGTAATCAAAGACTGATTTGGATGGGCAGCTAAATTTGGCTGGGAAAGCAGAGAGCTGTCCAAAGGCTGGGAAGCAAGATAAGGACCTAAAGAATAAAAACAGGTAAGGTATTTAATTTCTCTACTCACTGATTAGTTCTTTTCCAAATTTTTTAAGAACAGAATAATAACCTAATTGATTGTTTCTTGGTAATTACTTTCCCAAAGCAACTTTGCTAACAATCAGAAACTTAAAATGGAATTATAAAAGCCAGCATTCCTATGCCAATTAAAGAAATGATTATCATGAAACACTAACAAAATTCTATTTTCTAGGCACAATTATTTTTCAAGCAAAAAATAAATTTCCATCAAAATAAAAAATACTGTCTATACTAACAACTAAATTAAACAAAATGGTAGTATGTTAGCATAAGGTTCAAATTAAGAATGAACAAAGAATCAACTACTTTGGTTCTGCTCCTCTGTGGACTAAGTCTAAAGGAAGTTACTAATCTTTAATTCAAAGGTGTTATAGGAACCCTAAACTACTTGTCATTGTCTTAGCTATAAAATGCCCTGTGTTATGGCAGGGTTCTCTAAAAATCTTACATCTAAACGATTAGCAAATCAAGAATTCTACAAACTTAAGACATTAGACCCTACAAAGGCAATAGAAAATAGTCTATAAACCACAATTTCCTCATACCTGTTAGGATTGTTACACTAGGGATTAATAAACTTTGTATATAATGGTTCAGAAAGGAAATATTTTTGGCTCTGTAGCCAAAATGTGCCTTTTATGCCTATTCAACTCTGAATGTGTAGTACAGAATAGAGACAATATACAAATAAATGAAGATGACAATCATATTATTTATAAAAACATTTGGTGGACAAGATAATATTTGGATAATAATGGCCTTATATAGCAAATACAAATTGAGTACCTAGGTCATATCTGCAGACTTGTGCATAAAGCTTGAGCTTAGAAAATGCCTCGTTGTTACCATCAGCTGCCTGAGAAAACCATTCTGCTACCAACTTTTCTGATAGCTTCTTTGATGCAGTAGATCCAACTCTCATGATCCCATCTGCCAACAGTCGTGAAATAGGTCTATGTTGACCTAATCGACAGGACTATAGATAGGCATACAGAATGCAGAAAAGAGAAAAATTTACTACAGGATTTAGGCATATATATACACACAGACACACACACACACACACACACACATATATATATATAAAGCATTTAAGTTATTTTTAAATAATCTTAATCATTTATATTTAGCATTAATATAACAATATCAAGAGTGAAATGGAACCGAGTTTTCTTCCTTTAGAAACTTATTAAAACTGTGAAAATTTAGATATCTCTAATAAAAAAAACTAAATAATTTTATTACAGCCACAGACTTTGAATAATCATAGTTTATAGAATAAAGAAGTCAGCAAAAACAGACTCATACATCTAGGACCATTCTCTTTAAGTCAAAGCAAAATAAATTTTGGTATAGAAATACACTATTTTCCTGCTGTCCCTTAGTTCTGTGGGCTACTGAATTTTCTTAAAGGAAGCTCTATGTCAAACTAGAGTTTGACTAGAATTCGTACTACTTTATAGGAATTTCAATGATTTTAATAACTCCAGATGAATTGTGAATCTCTGGAAGTTTAATGTAATTTACAAGATTTCTCCAAATGTTTTTAATTATGGAATTCTAGGAAAATTTTTCAGGACTAGTATTTCAAACAACACTTCTTAGATAATGTTTATTTATAAAACACTACAGACATACTGAAATTAAGGAGAAACTTAAAAGGAAACTAAACACAGACTAACAAATTCTTATGCTTAAACAAATAAAGAAAAAAATGGATTTCCAAGAATTTGTGGAAAAAAAATGCACTAAGACTTCATGCCCCACAAAACATAAAACTTATAATCCTTGTGCATAGAGGTGTAAACAACAGGAAAACTATGATTTATTCTAAGAATAGACAATAATTCAAAACTGAAATAGGTCTTAGTGATTTCTAGCATAATTTCAATTATTTAAGTAAAATGATGCAATAGTGTCACACCTCAGGTCCTACAGCACGGATGAGAAACCTTTTTTCTGCCACGGGCCATATAATATTACAAACTTAAAAAAAAAAAATAGCCTCTCACACAGATTTACTGAATTTTGAATGCTGTCTGAAGTTCCCTTGGCAGGGCCAAACCAAATGATTTCACAGGTTTTATATGGCCTGTGGGCCAGCTGTTCCACACAACTTGTCCTAGAGAATCAGTATGAGAATTTTTACAAATTTTACAATTTGTAGCATTATACCTGGCTACTTAACGATGCTTAAAATTATTTTAGCAAAGGTTACTTTAAATAGGATATATAAGAAAAATTTTCATGGAAAGGTGGAATGAGAAATTCTGACACAAAAATTTTTGAACTCCACAGTTTTTCTATAACACATTTTCTGTGAACTTTTAGAGATCTGAACATTAATGAACATCACAATTTTTTTTGCATGAAAATAAACATCTGTTAGTTTCATTTTCATATCAATTCTTGAAGTACCCTCATACATGACCTCTATGTTTTCCTCCCAAAATTGAAATTTCTACCATAGGCCCAGCGCAATAGCGTAATGGTTAAAGTCCTTGCCTCGAATGCACAGGGATCCCATATGGGCACCGCTTCTAATCCCAGCAGCCCCGCTTCCCATCCACCTCCCTGCTTGTAGCTTGGGAAAGCAGTTGAGGTCGGCCCAAAGCCTTGGAACCCTGCACCCGTGTGGGAGACCCGGAAAGAAGTTCCTGGCTCCTGGCTTCAGATCGGCGCAGCACTGGCCATTGCGGCCACTTGGGGAGTGAATCATTGGATGGATGATCTTCCTCTCTGTCTCTCCTCCTCGCTGTATATCTGCCTTTCCAATAAAATAAATCAATCTTAAAAATAAAAAAGAAAAAAAATTTCTACCGTGACTATGGTACACACAACTAGCAAAGAGACCGAGTTAAACTTGGCAAAGAATTTAACTGGCTAGAATGAGAACTAAACATCTGATTTAAGATCATCATTACTGTGTCCCAATCAATGGAACTTACCACTATGTTTTACATACATCCAAGTCACAAGGCGATTTTAAAATTTTACTTCTTTTTAGAATACATACCTCATATATTGCAGTAAGATCTCTAAAAAAGCTTTTAGCTCCATTTAACAAGGCTTCATTCTCTGGACATAGTACAACATAGGCTATATCTCGTTGAGATCCATAGGGTTCCAGCATAAGTCTCTCCCAATAAGGGAGAGCAAATGGAGAAAGCACCAGAAAATCATAATCATAACCCAACAAAAACGTGGGGATTGGCAGTGGTTCTGGAGATTCATCAGTTCCTATGTCAAAAAAACATTTTAAGAAAGCACTTAAGACTTTTAATTTAAATGTCAAAAGTTAATAAAAAAATTAAGAAAGATATTTTATAAAGACTAAAAATAATAGTGTTTTGAATTATCATTCCCTTTATCACTTTTTATTGTATAGTAAAGATTTGTTTTACATACTTGAAAGCAGACAGAAACAAAGAGAGAAAGGACTGATTTTAATACCCAAAGATCTGCAACAGATGGGGCTGGGTTAGACCAAAGCTAGGGGCCTGGAACTCAGAGTGTTGGTCTCCTGTGTGCTAGTAACAACCCAGAACTTGAGTTACATGCTAACTTGGATCCACAGCACTCTGAAATGGAATATGGACATCACAAGCAGCATCTAAATGGCTTTGTCAACTACCTGCTCCTGATCCATTTTCATTAAATCTTATAAAATGACAGTTTACAAAAGTAAGCTTTAGCCTCTTCAATTTAGAAGTATAACCCTTGTTCACATAAAGTTGCTTTGGAAAGTTTAATACATACACAATGATGCAAGTGAAGTTACTTGAATACAATAAATTGAGTGCTGGAAACTTTCAAAGAAAGGCTATGACTGGAACTAGACCACAAAAATATTTCAGAAGACTAATGTGCTTATTATAATCAGGCATAGAAACTCTGAGGACTGATAAAATTAATCACTATAAGTCACTATAAATGACTTACCGTAAGAACCTCGGCCAGCCATTTTATGAAACTGCTGCCAAGTGAGAGGACCTTGAACCCCCCAAGGTCTAATTGTTCTTTTTTTCTGAATGGCATCCTGAAGAACTGGCTGAAGTGAGAGGAGCATTCGAAGTATATCCTGTGAGCACTGCATACTCACGTCTATAAGCATTTTAAAAATGAGAATAGTTATTACCAACACACAAAATTTTTTTTACATTTTATTATTATTCCTTTTATGATACAGTTCCATATTCCCTTAACCCCTTACCAATTCCCTCCCCCGACCTAGTTCCTCTATATCATTACTAATACATAGTTCTTCATACATAGTCAATTTAAAAGTAAGAAATACATCTAAGGAACTCTGTTAAACTTTAAATCTGTTTTTTTGTGTTTTTTTTCTTTAAAGATTTATTTATTTTTTTTTTATTACAAAGTTAGATATACAGAGAGGAGGAGAGACAGAGAGGAAGATCTTCCGTCTGATAATTCACTCCCCAAGTGACCAGAATGGCCAGTTCTGCGCCGATCCGAAGCCGGAAACCAGGAACTTTTCCAAGTCTCCCACACGGGTGCAGGGTCCCAAGGCTTTGGGTCATCCTCAACTGCTTTCCCAGGCCACAAGCGGTGAGCTGGATGGGAACTGGGGCTGCCGGGATTAGAACTGGAGCCCATATGGGATCCCGGCACGTTCAAGGCAAGGACTTTAGCCGCTAGGCCAATAAAATATCTTTATTTTTAACACTTATTTTGGATATTTGCATTGTTACTGGTATTTTGCCAGAAAGAACTATAGCGCACAGAGACAGGAGTTACAAGTCACGCCCTTTAATTAAACCACCAGCATGGTAAAATGATCAGCTATCTTAGACTACTTATAGTCATTAAAGCCTAATTGTGGGAAAAAGGCACACTATAAGAACTCTCAAACATAAAACTTGAATAAAAACAGATAAACCTGGTTGCACTGCTAAAATGTATTATCCTTACATATGTAAGTATGAATGGTGATGCTCATAAACATAAAATAGCTAAAAGAAAAATCGGTGCGGTGGCGCAAGTGGTTAAAGGTCCTCGCCTTGCATGCCCGGGATCCCATATGGGCGCCGGTTCTAATCCCGGCAGCCCCACTTCCCTTCCAGCTCCCTGCCTGTGGCCTTCCTGGGCCACAGTTGAGGACGGCCCAGGGCTTTGGGACCCTGCACCCACGTGGGAGACCCGCAAGAGGCTCCTGGCTTCGGATCGGCATAGCATCGGCCATTGCGCTCACTTGGGGAGTGAATCATTGGACGGAAGATCTTCCTCTCTGTATATCCGCCTTTCCAATGAAAAAATAATAAAAATAAATCTTTAAAAAAAAGAAAAATCACCATATGATACTGATATAACTAATGTGGCCTCTGATATGTGTACAATATCACTGCAACTGTCTGAGTATACTATTACATGATTCAACTTTGAATAGCATTGCCAACCTTAATCTCCTATAACCAAATACAGTACTTAACGATCATTACATATAAACTATTAATTTCTAGAAAACATTTTCACTGAGTAAAGTTGGTTTTACAACCACATGGGAGACTTGTAAACACAAATGAAGAGCTCAACTCCAAGAAATTCTGATCTGAATAAACCTGAGGAATTTCTACTTTAACTTAGTACTATTCTAACAGACATCCTTTTCTCCTCATTAAATATTACTGAACATGAAATATCTATTGAAGATGTACTACGGAGCATAAATTATACTAGTTGCTGAGAACACTAAATAAACAAATTCCTATTTATGTTTTCAGGCATCTTATAATGCTGGGGAGGAAAAACTGACCTGAAGAAAATGTAACTTTGTAATTATTATAATTTTACTAAGCAAGGAAAATAATTATATATATATGTTGGGCTAAGAAAGTTTTTGAAATGACACCAAAAACACAAGCAACAAGGAAAAAAACTAAACAAATAGAAAAACCTTTGTTCTTCAAGGAACACCATCAAGAAAGTGACAAGAATAATCCCTAAAATAGCAGAAAATATTTGCAAATCATATACCCTCTAGGAACTTTTTTTAAAATCCTTATATCCAGATCGTATGAGGAACTCTCATAATTTAGGAACAAAAGATATAAAAATTGAGAAGAAGCCCTGAAAAGACATTTCTTCAGGAAAGATATTAAAATGCAAAATAAACGAATGAAAACATGAGGCCAGCACTGTAAAGCACTGGGTAAAACTAGTGCTTTCAATACCAACATCCCATTATGTGTGCCAGCTACTTCACTTCCCATCCAGCTTTCTACCAATAACCTCAGAAAAGCAGCTGAAGATGACCCAAGAGTTTGGGTCCCTGCCACCCAATTGGGAAATTCAGAAACAACTCAGGGCTCATGACCAGACTGGCCCAGCCCCAGCTGTTACAGCCATTTGTGGGAGAAAAGATCTCCTCCTTCTTCATCTCTCTCTCCATCCAGGCTTTTTAAAAAATTAAACAAAAAATCTTAAAACGAAAATATATTCAACATCATCATTACTAATGATGAAAAGGGAAACCAAAACCTCAATGATATACTACTTCCTACTGATTACGACTATAATCAAAAGACATACGAAGGCAGGTATTTGGCTTAGTGGTTAAAACCAACATATTCCATACTGTCACCAGCTCAACTCTACCTTCCTGACAATGGAGACCCTGGGAGGCAAAAGGTAATGAATGGCTCAGGTAGTAGATTTCCTGCCACCCATGGGAGACATGAATTAAGTTCCAAGCTCCTACTTCTGACTTTTCATGGGTAGTTGTTATATAGGAGTAAACCAGTGGATGGACTCTCTCTGACTTCCAACTATTAATTAAACAGAGAGGGAACAGAGAGAGGGAGAAAGGAAGAGAGGGAACAGGAAGAGGAGGAGAGCGCAAGACGGACAGAGAGAGACAGAGAAAGGGAAGGGGAGAAGAAAAGGAGGGAGGGAGAGAGGAAAGGATTGGAAAAAATAGAACCTTCACACATTGCAGACAGGAATAAAAACAATCTGGCAGTCTTTCAAAACATTATGTGAGTTACATGATTCAGCAAGTTCACTTAAGAGTCACAAAAACATATGAACACATCCAAACTTGTACAGAGATCTTCACATCAATATTACTCATAACAGTCTGAATAGATAAACAAAATAGTATATTCATACAATGAAATATTATTTGGCCTTTTTAATATTTAAAATTTATCACTGCCAAATATTAATTATGCTATAACATGGATGAAACTTAAAAAACATAATGAAAAGTGAAAAAAGTCAGCCACTGATGAACATATACTGTATGATTCCACTTTATGAAATATCTAAAAGAGGTAAATCTATAAACACAACATGCAAACTGCTGGTTGCTCACATTTTGAAGGGAAAGTAGGAAGGGAAAAAAGAAGTAGCTAATGGACATACAACTTATTGTTGGGGTGATAAAATATGTTCTAAAATCAATTATAGTGATGGCGAAAATGGCTGAAAGCATGATGTGTTTACAAAGCTCCTTAAGACAATTAGCGAGACTAGGCACAATCTACAGCAATTTTTGAGTCTGTATTATTACAGAGGGAAAGACAGAGACAGAACGACACACAAACACACATAGAGCATGAGAATCACCCATCTGCTGGCTAACCACCCAGATGCCACCATAATCAATAAATCACACAGCACATTCAAAAGTGACAAAGCAAGGAGAGCAAACAAAAAGGCTGGCTTCTAATGTTATACTGAGAAGATGGTAGCCAGTAAGATATACAGGAGACAAGAGAGTGATCTGCTTAAAAAAAAGGGGTCAACGCAGAAGGAACAAATAGCCAAAAGCTCTAATATAGTAACTTGCCACTTGATCATACTGCACTAACTTAACAAAACTATTCAAACACTAAGCATTGTTTCTTTTCTTGTGTTTAATTATTTTTTGATAATTCTTAAAATGAAACTAAATTTTATGTTTATAGAACTTTGTATCAGTGTTTACTATCTAAAAAACAAAACAAAACAAAAAAACCTACCAGGTAAAGATCAATAGTTCCTACCATTTGGCAAGTAACTTTGTTAGACAAACACTAGTAAGCACCAGGATCCTACATGGGCACTGGTTCATGTCCCAGCGGCTCCATTTTTCATCCAACTCCCTGCCTGTGACCTGGGAAAACAGTAAAGGACGGTTCAAAGCCTTGGACCCTGCATCCACAAGGCAGATCTGGAAGAAATTCCTGGCTACTGGCTTCGGATCAGCTCAGCTCTGGGCCTTGTGACCATTTGGGGGAGAGAACCAGTAGATGGAAGATGTTTGTCTCTCCTTCTCTCCATAAATCTGATCTGCTTTCCAAAAAATATATAAAATAAATGAATAAATAATAATAAACCTTTAAAAAAACCCTGAGTTTCACAGTGTACCAAGCATCACTGTGTTATATAAATCAGCCATTCTGATGCTCTCAATACAGTAGAGGTAAATCTGTTATTAATCCTGAAACTAAATGACATGCTGAAGATTACTGGGAACGCGTACTGAGAGTTATGTTTCAAACTCAAGTAATCTGACTCCACAGCTTGTGTAAGTTTCTTTTTCAATTTTTTAAAAAAGATTCCTTCCTTCCTTCTCTCCCTCCCTTTCCTTCTTTCCTTTCTGTCTTTATTTGAAAGGCAGATTTACAGAAGAAGTTATGGAGAGAGAGATCTTCCATCTGATGATTCACTCCCCAAATGACCACAGCGGCAAGCTCAACTGATCCAAAACCAGGAACCAGGAGCCAGGAGCATCTTCTGTTTCCCCTACAGGTGCAGTGTCCCAAGGCTCTGGGCCATCCGCCACTGTTTTACCAGATCACAAACAGAGAACTGGATAGGAAGTGGAGCAGCCAGTACTAGAATTAATGCTCAGGGCCTGGCGTGGTCGCCTAGCAGCTAAAGAGACTGCCTTAAACACGCTGTGATCCCATATGGGCGCCGGTTCTGGTCCCGGCAGCTCTACTTCCCATCCAGCTCCCCGCTTGTGGCCTGGGAAAGCAGTCGAGGACAGCTCAAAGCTTTGGGACCCTGCACCTGTGTGGGATACCCAGAAGAAGTTCCTGGCTCCTAGCTTTGGATCAGCATAGCATCGGCTGTTGCGCTCACTTGGGGAGTGAATCATCGGACGGAAGATCTTCCTGTCTCTGTCTCTTCTCCTCTCTGTATATCTGACTTTCTAATAAATAAATAAAATCTATTAAAAAAAGAATTGGGCCCGGCGTGGTGGCGCAAGTGGTTAAAGGTCCTCGCCTTGCACGCCCGGGATCTCATATGGGCGCCAGTTCTAATCCCGGCAGCCCCACTTCCCTTCCAGCTCCCTGCCTGTGGCCCAGGAAAGCAGTTGAGGACGGCCCAAAGCTTTGGGAACCTGCACCCACGTGGGAGACCCGCAAGAGGCTCCTGGCTTCGGATCAGCATAGTATCGGCCCGTTGCGCTCACTTGGGGAGTGAATCATCGGACGGAAGATCTTTCTCTCTGTCTCTCCTCTCTGTATATCCGCCTTTCCAATGAAAAAAATAATAATAATAAAAAAAAATAATAAAATAAAATAAAAAAAGAAGAATTAATGCCCATATGGGATCTTGGCACTTGCGATGGGAGGATTAGCTAATTGATCCACTATACTGGGCCTACCTTGCCTGCTTGTTTTTAACAATCACATTTGTGTTACAATAATCTTGCCCTTTATTTTAACATCTAATATGCACTTACACATTTTCCTTTAAAAAAATTTTTTAAAGAGTATCTTAGTTCTCCCCTACCACTAAGATTTATTTACTTATATTGGGAAGTCAGATCTACAGAGAAGAGAGAGACAGGGAGAAAGAGCCTCCATCCACTGGTCCACTTCACAAGTGGCCACAACAGCCAGAGTTCAGTCAATACAAAACCAGGAGACAGGAGCCAGGAGCCAGGAGCCTAATCCAGGTCTCCCACGCTGATTGCAGTGTCCCAAGGCCCAGGGCCATCCTCCACTGTCTTCCCAGGACACAAGGAAGGAGCTGGAAGGTAAGGGAAGCAGCTGTGTTCTCAATTTCTTTTAATATTAACAATAATAATGTTATCTCACAGCCTCAAGAAATAAAATATTACAAAAATGATCTTTAGTGCCCATCTATTTTTATTCTTCAGTCATTTCTGGACACAGGCAAAATATCAAGAATTAAGCAATACAAATAAATATATTTAACTTTGCTTGTTTTATAACTTTAGCAAAGGTAATACTTTGAAAAGATATATTGCTGTATTATTATCTTCTGGGATGTTTTCTCTCTTCTTTCCCAAAACACTAAGATTCAGCTATTTGTTACATGTGACTTAAAAAAATACTCATTTAAAAGTTAGAAAAAAAGAGGGAAAAACAGAAATCTCTTCTCTCACTGGTTCACTCTCCAGATGTTGCAATGGTAGGGACTGAGCTAGGCTGAAGTCAGCTTCCGGACCCTCCTGTTCTCCCACATGGGTTCAGGAACTAAAGCATTTAGGCTATCTTCCAAGCGTTCTCAGGCACATTAGCAGAGCTGGATTGGAAGTATAGCAGCATACTGGATGCCAACTTTGCAGGCAGTAGCTTTACCTACTATGCCATAGTATCCAATTTCAAAGCTATAATATTTCACATGTACTACTATAATTATCCATTCTCTTCTGGGTGGGCATTTTTAAAATTTTTATTTCGCCCAACTTTGTTTTATGGTTTTATTTATTTTTACTGGAAAGTCAAATATACAGAGAGGAAGATCTTCTGTCCAATGATTCATTTCCCAAGTGGTCACAATGGCCAGAGTTGAGCCAATCTCAAGCCAGGAACCAAGAGCTTTTCCCAGGTCTCCCACGTGGGTGCTGGGTCCCAACGCTTTGGGCTCTCCTCCATTGCTTTCCCAGGCCACAAGCAGGGAGCTGGATGAGAAGCAGGGCTGCTGGGATTAGAATCGGCGCCCATATTCATATAGGATACTAGCACATACAAAGTGAGGACTTTAGCCACTAGGCTACTGTGCTGAGCCCATTTTATAGTTTTAGCTCCCTTGTAGTTAGTAGCAATTTAAGGGCAAAATACCCGTGGTTAATAGTTCTCAAAATACCATGTACATGTGTTTTAAAAAGATAAGAATCAGATAAAAAGGTTTTAAAATTTTGTTTACTCATTTATTTATTTGCAAGACAGAGAGAGATCTTCCATCAATTGGCTCATCTGCAAAATGCCCACAGCAAAGACTAGGATAGGCCAAAGCCAGAATCTGCTCCAATTCTCCCATGCAAGTAAGAAAGGACTATTTGATCAACCTCTTCCTGCCAGGATGTGTAGAATTGGAGCTGGCACTTGAATCCAAGCACTCCAATATGGGTTATGATCATCCTATACCAAATACCTAGTTCCAAATAAAAGTTACATGCTATACACCCCTTAAGAGATTCTCACAAGAACTACATTCTGAAAGAGGTAAACTTTCTGCATATATTAGTCTATATGACTTAAAGCTTAAAAAGTTAATCAGTGGCATATTGAAACATTTTTAAAAAATATTTATGTATTGTTATCTGAAAGGCAGAATGTTTTTGCAGAGACAGGAGAGAGAGAGAGTCTTCCATCTTCTTTGGTTCTCAAATATATCAAAATGTTGAGCTGGCACTGTTGCACAGTATGTTAAGGCTACCACCCACGATGCCCACATTCCACATGGAAATTAGTTTGTGTCGTGGATACTCCATTTCTGACTCAGCTCCCTTTAATGTAATGGCCTGGGAAAAGCAACAAAAAATGACCTAAATGTTTGGGGCCTACCACCCATGTGAGACACAAGAATAAAGTTTCTAGCTCCAGGCTTTGGCTTGGCCCACCTCTAGAACTGGAAGATGGAGGATCAATTGACCAATTATTCAACTGACCAATTATTCAACTATTCTTTCTTTTTCTCTCCATAACTCTTTAAAAATAAACAAGAACATCTTAAAAATACTCATATATTCCAAGAGTCTAATACATAAGCCTCTAATGCTTTCCATCTGTCCGAGCAAATATCATGAATCTCCTGGACTACTGAAAAAGCCTTTCAATGGATACAACTGCTTCTACTGTTACTTTCACCATCTCTAATCCCTAGGCTCCTTTCCACATAACACCACAACAGTTAGCTCTTAAAAAAACAACAGAAAATAGGATGCTATTTCTTCAAAACTAGTCAACAGTTTCACATCTCACATGAAATGAATTACAGAAGTTTTCCATATAAAGAGACCGAATGTGATTTTGGTATTTAGCCACATGTAAGATTTCATGTCCTATCATTTTGCCCATAATCCAATACAGTTGCATGACAGTAGTCTTGTTAATAATCCTCAAATATATCAACCACATTACTTCCTGAAGATCATGGCACCCAGCTTTGCCACTTTTGAAATGCTTCTCCTTCAGTTAACCACATAGTTCACATTTCCTAGTTTATGTAGTTTATTCAAATGCTCCTTTTTCAGTAACATCTTCTCTGATCATACATATAACACCAACTTAATCATTTTTAATCCTAAACATCACTTCCTCATCCTATCTATTCTTCCATGTACATGATCATTTTCTTGTTTACTGTCTGTCTCCTCCACTAAAGTATGGGTTCAAAAAGGTAAGAAAGGCCTGTCATCATTGCATACTCAGTAAAGCTGCCTGCCTGCAATGCTAGCAACACAAATGGACACTGGGTTGTGTCCCAGTTGCTCCACTCCCCATCTGGCTCCCTGCTAATATGCCTGAAAAAGCAGCGGACTAAGACCAAGTGCTCAACTCTTGCTTCAGTCTGGCCCTACACTGGTCATGATAACCATGTGAAGAAGGAACTAGCATATGGAGGCTCTCTTTCTTCATCTCTCCCTCTCTGTAACTTTGCCTTTCAAATAAACTAAATATCTTTTAAAAAATCATCAATAAGTGTATTAAGTCCAAATTAAGTGTCCATATTGTAACTCTGCTTTTCAAATAAATTAAACATATTTTTAAATAACTATTAAAAGAGTTTTAAGTAAAAAAAAAAAAGTTTTTAGTCCAATAATAAGTGTCTATATTAACTGATGGGAAACTACCTCTAAACTCTTTGCTAGAAAACCAAAGCAAAGTCATACAGTTACAGGAAAACCAGCAATTTATACAAGTATTTTGCAAGCAAACTTACCATTTCTTTTGGACCATGGATGTAAGCATGAACTTTTCACAAGTGCTTCATCAACTTTTCCTCCTGACATATTATCCATGAACTGACGCCCATGTTCCAACGCAAGGTAGCAATCATTGCAACAGTCCCGCTCTTCAACACGTACCCAATTGCTAATTACACCAATTTTGGGAAAAGGATCTTGGTCTGCCACTCCAAAGGGTGAAAATAAATTAGTGCATTGATCTTGTAGCAACAATATTAATTCATCAGGAAGCTTTTCAGATTCCTTTAGTCCTCCATTAACTTGTTCAGAAGAAGTAGCCCTGAGAGCTTCAAAACGTTTTTCTGCTTCTTTGCCACAGTCTGTGTTGCGTCCTATGATATCTAGTTCATCTTCAAGAAATAATCCTGAATTATTTCCAAATTTTCTGTTCATGACTGCACTGAAGCCGCAGGTACATCTATACTGTGCTTCCTGCGTTGGATCTGGAATGTAAACTCCAACATCGGCACCCTTAATATTCATGTTGCAAACACAGATGCAGCAACTATCAAAGTTGCAGTCTTTAAACAAATTCATAACTGATTCTGAAAGGATGAGGTTTACGTAAAGACTGTGTGCTTCAGGGATAGAAGGAACAGTTGCAGGTTCAACAGAATTGAGGGGTCTGCATGTGGATGGGGTGGAAGCTGGTGAATACAAGTCTGAATTTTCGTATTTAACAGAACCTTGAGCACTGGCAGGTCCACCTGCTCCACGAGGAGTCCTAGGAGTCCTTGGAGTCCTTGGAGTTGGAAACCGAGGCGTGGATGGTGAAGGAAGAATTCCTGCTCCACTGTTACTAGGAGGTGCACTACTAGGAGGCATTCCAAAAGAAGTATGGGTTTGAGGTGTGTAGGCAGGGCCGTACTCTTGATCCATGTTACTTCCATCACTACTGCCACCAGAGTAAAAGAGAAAATCACATACAGGCATTACATAAGTAGTGTGAAATATAACTAGAAGCATCCCAAATGTTTCTAGTTAACACTGCAAATTATGAAAGAACAATCAGTAAAAGGTACAAGGAGTTTTTTTAGTTAATACCTTCTGGGTGATTAAAATGTAAAAAGAATGGGCAATATGAAAGTGTACAAAGGGGGTAATTTTGAACTATTTATCAACAGAAAAAATGCTCCCAAAGACAAGTAATTTAACCAGATCATTTTTAAAGGATTTTCAAAACCCTATATTCTTTTGTCAGCCCGTCAGTTCCTTCTATAAATAAAATATTATGATAAGCATTCATATACCACAATAACTAAATAGTGACAACAAACTCATACCCTTCTTTGATGAATGGCATTGTAGGTCCTGAAGGAAGCAATTCCAACTTTCCAACAGTCCAACTCTGACGATAAATACACTCTTCTGGCAATTTGATAGGTGGCAAACATTGGCTTGGTAGAGTTTTTAGCGGTGCAAACATGGAACATCCCACTAGAACTTGACAATTTTCAGGCTTATAGACATAAGAAAAATCCTACAAATAAAAATCAGAGTTATCAGCATCTAAGTATCTGGGGGGAATAATGGAGGCTGTAGGAGGAATCAACAAAAAGCGAAAAACATTTGGGCTTTTTCTCCTATTCTTTTTTTTTTTAAGATTTATTTATTTTTATTGGAAAGGCAGATATACGGAGAGCAGAGGAGACAGAGAAGAAGGTCTTCTGTCGATGGTTCACTCCCTAAGTGGCCGCCATGGTTGGAACTGAACCAATCCAAAGCCAGGAGTCAGGAGCTCTTCCTGGTTTCCCATGCTGGTACAGGGTCCCAAAGCTTTGAGCTGTCCTCGACTGCTTTCCTAGGCCACAAGCAGGGAGCTGGATGGGAGGCAGGGCAGCCAGGAGTAGAACCTGCACCCATATGGGAACCCGGTGTGTTCAAGGCAAGGACTTTATCCACGAGGCTATTGTGTCAGGCCTTTTTTCTTCTATTCTTAAAATGCAGTGATAGCAGACAAAAAAAAGTCATACACATGAATAAAACTCACATCTTGAGATTTGATTAATGTCTGTCACTCTTGTCTAAACTCTAGAGAACACAGTGGTCTTTCTACTTTTTACCTGTTGAATTTGTAGAGACAAATTAGGTTTGTGATTATAAAGTAAATTTTTTAAAGTATGCTAATGTAAAAAATAAGAGAAAAATAAGTAAGGATGTTTTTAAAGCATATATATGAAAGATGTGTCATCTGTCAACTTTATGCTTTCTCTCTATAAGTAATTTATTCTCTACATACACACATTCTGAATAGTGTTTGATAATTCAGTCCTCAAATTTGTAAACTACAAAACTATAATCACTATGAAAGGGTTTTTTTTTAATATTGCAACAAACTAATTATATAAGAAAATTAAAAAGCGAATTGCTTTTCTAGAAAAATAAAATACTTACTTTAACTTCAGATGGTTTTGGGCTACAGAATCCCTCATCAACTTCAATTTTGAACTGTGCTCCTACACTAGAAGTATTTCCTTCTAGAACAGTTCCTCCAGGTGTTATATCCATACTTCCATACTCTTTATTATTCATATTCATTGGGGAAAATCCCATAATATGTTGTTCCAATGATGGTGGTGTAGGATACATCTTATGAAGATCTGCAGTGCCTATATTTAATAAAGCAAACATCTTAATATGAGACCAAAAAAAAAAAGGAGAATCAGTTTTTTTAAAAAGGGAGTGGGAATTTTAAGATTAAAAATTTGCAAATTTATGCTATAAACTACTAAATACTAAAATTAAAATAGACATGAGACAGCTGAATAGTAATCTATAGCCATTTTTAGGTGTATAGAACCCAGTTGTATATAAACTAATAATTGTAATGTCCATGTAGAAGTCATAGGATGTGGTTCAGAACTTGCACTCTTTTTTTTTTCTCTCTTTCTTTTAACATGTTGGTTACACAATACCATGTCAACTAATTCCATTACGTTATAAATTGTTACTGATGTAATGTCGGGGCTTTTAATTGATTGGGATGATACTCTGTCGGCTCTACCTTCAGACCAGAGACAATCTCCTCAAGAAACGGTTGAACTTATCTGGACAATAAGATGCTGGACTCTGCTTTGTAGATGCTTGCAAGGAAAGAATCTCAACTGAATTTGAACTGTGGTAATGCAACAAGGTGGAAGAATCCACCATGGGTGGGGGGGTTTGGGGAGGGGAGGGTGGAATCCCAGTGTCTATAAAACTGTGTCACATAATGCAATGTAATCAATAAAAAAAATGCAAATTTATCTGGAACAGATATAGAAAGCTTACTTATGCAAGATAACGGGTCCAGATTTCCTGTCTTTGATTCCTTGCAGCTGGCCTTATCATCAGATCCATTTGCTGATTTTTTAGATCCAGGCTATTTTTAAAGAAAGCAGTACATATTTATCTGAAATTTTACATTCAATATTATCTCAAACTAGCAATTACCCAGACATAAAAGAAAATTCACCATCAAAAATATTTTGTATCTGCAAAAGTCAAACACACACTAAGTTTCAAAGATAGAGACAAAACAAAACCTTAAACAATCACTGACTCCCGATAAGTTGCTCTGAATAATGACTCAATAAGCCTTCTGATTGACAGAGGAATAAGCTCCAAATAACCCAAATTCTCGAAACATAAAGAAGAATAAGAAACAATTAAAAATCTATTAAAATAAAGAAATCTGCGATAAAGGTCTTAAAACTGACATCAAAATTGCTTTGTAGTAAAAGATACTCCTAAAACATTTGTCCTTTTAATTTAAAGACATGAACTTTTCCTATATAATCAACAATATCTCTCAATTTTCCCCTTTGAAATAAAATGTATTCATTTGAAAGGCAGAGTTACAAAGGAGAGACAGACAGAATGAGATCCGGTATACACTAGTTCACTTCCCAAATGTAGCCCCAACAGTTAAGGATGTGCCAGGCCAAAGCCAGGAACTTCATCTGGGTCTCCCATAGGTGTGGAAGGGTCCAAACACTTGGCCTTTCCCTGGCACTCATTAGTAGAACTGGATGTTAAGTGAAGCAGCTGGGACACAAACATAAACCCATATGGATCCACTGTCATTGCAGGCAGTGAGTTTACCTGCTAGATCACAATTCCAGCCCCTGAATTTTTTTATGTTTTTACATTCTTACAACATTCTTCTTACTTTTCTAAACATACACTAATAGGTAAAACTAAGCAAAACCTTCAGAAACCTAATGACAGGGTAACAGGGTTCTTAACTGTAAACAAGTTTTAACATATTGACCAAAATAAGTTTTATTATCACCAATCTATCACCAATGTTTTTAGTACTGACATTTGTAGCCTGTCTTCTATTAGTCCCTTTGAGGCAAATATGCAGACTGAGTTCTGACTACCAACTTCTTGCTTCAGGGGAACCACAGCTGATACAGGAATGCTAACTAAGACAAACTTATCAAAGAATTCAAGGATTTATACTCATGTAGTACACAGTGCCCTGGTAAATGTTTCATTATGAGATAATCAAGTATGGCTATATCTGAGATATATACACAAACAAATATATAGGCATATATATGCTTTGTTATGGGATTTGGGGTAAAAGTCTATGTACAGTATATTTACCATACACACACACACAAATACGCATATGCTGAGAAGGCAAAAATCATGTTATACAGGACAAGACCAAAAGTACCACTGAAATTTAGAAGCAGATAAAAAAGGAATTCCTCTTCATAATAATACAGCACTCGATTGATTAATCTGCCAGACTTGACTTTCTTGGCCAACTATTTCTGTTCATTTTTGTTTATTTATTTGCAAAAGAAAGACCCCCAGAAACAGAGGAAGATCCAGAGCTCCCATCTAAGTTATACCCTAAATGCCCATTATAACCAGTTTGGCCAGGGCCAAACCCAGGAACCAGGATCCAATTATTTGAAAGGAAGCTGGAAGCAGGAAGAGCTTGGTACCGAACTGAGGTAATTCAACATGGGACATAGAGTCTTAACTTATAGGCCAAATGCCTGCCCAGAGAATCTCATTTTTCTGAATTTTAATTACTTTTATGCTTACCTTTCTATACAAATGAATATTAAACACTAAATACGAATTCTTTCTCTTTTACTGTTATGGTGTGGACCTATCTTATTAACAAAACATGCAATTTTAGTTTTAATTACTTATGCATTCTCTAAACAAGTCAATTTCGTAGTTATTTCTCAAGTTAGAGGATTAAAAAAACGGGAAAATCTGCTTCCTAAGAACTACAAAAAAGACATGACAGAGCTCAAGTCAAGCTGAATCACATGTCCTTCAAAAATACTAACAAAAGGAAGACAATTCAAAGCTTACAAGTGACTCTATAAACATGACATTAAAATATAAACTAAAATCTTATTTTAAAATATCTTATTCAACGATAAACCATTACTCAACACACAAATAACTTCTGAAAAACAAAAACTTAAATCAAGGAAAAAAATTCCCACCATTCTAATGATTAAGAGAATATACTCACTGTTAGTTCATCTTCATCAGAATTGAAGAGATTATCAAGGTCAGTGTAAGAGACAGCAAGGTCTGAGTCATAAATCAAACTGGTTGATGGAGGACGAGCATGACCAGTTGGGCGCGGAACATCTAGATGTGTTAATCAGAAACAAAACAAAAAACTCTACTACTGACCAAGTAAGTATCATTCTATTTATTTAAATTATATACATAACTTAGCTTTTATGGAAATTATTTCTTTTAGAAAATCTAGAATTTTGCTGCTATTTTTTCTGATAAAATGTTGTAAATAATGGTGGCACCTTAGTGAGGAAGCTCACTGCCAAAGGCCAGATGAATACATTAACATAGCTAATACTTCCAAAATGAATTCTTAAAATTATAAACAGTTTTAGGACAACAAATTAAACACACATATTTTTCTCTATTTTCCTGAAAGGTAATGACAGTACAATATAATGACTAATGGCTCCAGCTCTTGAGTCAGAGTAATTCAAGTCTAGGTCCAACACTAATGGCATGGTTCTGGGCAAGTTATTCAACTTTTCTATGCCTCACCAATGATGTGTATACCAAGAATTAAATATGACAGAATGTAGGTAAAGTCTCCCACACACTGCCAGGCATTTAATCAATAAATATTATCTTTAAAAATTTTTATTATTAAATTTTCTTTTTAAAATTTTGGCAAAAATATGATTGTTTCAGAAAAAATACAAATAAAAATTAAGTTCTGCTATATTTCCAGAAGAGAAACAAAAACAATTTTGAGCCTGATATTTAACTTTGCAAGTAATTCTCTAAATGTCAAGTTATTTCAGATAAATCCCTTTTCCAGTCCTTCTCACTTAGAAATAACTTTGAAATTTTAGAGTACATACAAATCATCACAGATGGGTAAATGGTACAGTCTTCAAGTACCTGGGTTCAAGTTACAGGGCTATTTCCAACTCCAACTCCCTAAATGTATATTCTGGATGGTAGTTGTTGACAACTCAATACCTGGGTCCTAGTCACCCATAGAGGACATGTAAGGACTGAGCTATAGGACTCTTAGTTTTAATGTGACCTAGAAGTTGCTGTTACAGGCATTTTGCAAAGTGAACCAGCAAATGAGACATCTGTGTTTCTCTGCCTTTTTGAAGAAACTATTTAAATTATCAAGGGTACTTAGTAAAAATTAAGATTTTAAAGCTCTATTTGAGATGCTCCAGAGTATGATAAATGGTCTACATTCCTTAAAAAAATAAAAAAAAAAATTCTTCCATGCACTGTTTTACTCTTCAAATGCCTGTAATAATCAGGCTGAGCAAGGCTAAAGGCAGGAGCCCTAAACACAAATCAGGTCTCCCCTATGAGTGGCAGTGATGAAAATGCTTGAGCCATCATCTGATGCCTTCAAGGTGCGCATTAGCAGGAAGCTGGGTCAGAAGCAGGGGAGACAGAACTCCAACTAGAAACACCAATGTCATGTGTGCAGCTCAATCAATCAGCAGCCTAACTCCTGCACCAAATACTTGCCCCAATGGTCCACATTTAGAAAAACCTGCACCAGCGGCACAACAAAAAGATAAAAAATTTCCATCATCTGAGGAAATATCCTAAGAGAGGATAAATAGGCTAAATAAAACCATTTATTTCATTCATTTGATATGCATACATATTGTTGAATGACTGAATTAAGCTACATTTGCATGACCTCACATACTGTTTCCTGGTGAGAATAATTAAAATTCAAACATAATACACTTTTAAAAATACAAAAGACTACGATGGTTACCATGATTGAGTTTAATAAATTTTTTTAGCTTTAAATGGTATGAAAAAATGCACATGCAGCAGAAACTATGCTTTGAACTGTGATCTTCTTCTGAACTGGCGACACGTGTCGTGATCCTCCTGTAATGAGGGGCATCCGCAGTGTGTCACTCCTCCCATTCGGCCACAAGATCACAAGGCCAAGCAACTGATACGCTACAGTATACTATGTTACCAGTGTCTTTTGGAAAGAGGTAGTTCATAAACTATGGACTATGACATACTCAACACCTCATTTTCTTATTTCTTTTCTTTTCTTTCTTTCTTTCTTTCTTTCTTTTTTTTTTTTGTTGTTGTTGTAGAGAGAAAAGTTTATTTGCGAAAGGACCAGGTAAGCAGGGAAGGCAGAGGGAAGGGGAAAGCACCTCCGGAGAGAAAATCAGGAGGTGGGGTGCCTCTTGAAATGGGAGGGAGAGAGACACCCAACACTTCATTTTCTAAATGCATAATACACATGTATATGTGACACACACATTATATATATATATCCTACTTAATAACCATTTACTTTCTATGTTCGAGTCCAGAAGTTTCAGATTACACATACAAGTGAGATCACAGAGTGTTTTATTTAACATAATGTACTCCAAATTTACCTATATTGTGGTCATAAAAGACAGTATGTCCAATTTTAGCTTTAAAAAGCTAAAACAGCGGTCTGCATGGTGTTGTAGCAAGCTAATACTAAGCCTGCAGGATTTGTACCCCATAAGTGCCAATTCTAGTTCTGCCTACTCCACTTCTGATCCAGCTGCCTGGAAAAGCAGCAGAGGATAGCCCCAGGCCTTGACCATGTGGGAGACACAAAAGAGGCTCCTGGTTCCTGGCTTCAGATTGCCATAGCTCTAGCCATTGTGGCCATTTGGGAAGTGAACCAGCAGATGGAAAATCCATCTCTCCTTTCTATAACTCTGACTTCCAAAGAAAATTAATAAATCTTTAAAAAGTAAAACTGAAGACTGAATTACATTATCTATTAAATATGTGTATGTGTGCATGTATATGTATGTGCGTATGAATAACACAATTTGGTCACTCATGCATTGATGAGTATTTTGACTATTGTTAATAATACTGCAAAAAAATATGAGCCAGATATCAGTATGGACAAACTGATTTCAATCAGCAGTGGAACTATCACATCATATGGCAGGTATTTTTAAAATATTATCGAACATACACATTTTGAAAAAACTGCAGAGATTTAAGATTTTTGCACTAAAATGAATCTTCAATTTTCCACGAACTTTCTCAAGTATGTTTATTATTGTGACTTCATGAAGAAACTCCACGTTACTTTCCACGATGGTTATCCTAATTTATATCCTTACCAACAATGTATAAGGGAATTTATTCTGTTCACAAAGAAGTGTAGTTAAGAGATGTTTATTCTGATACAAAACAATTTGAATCTATGTATTTTTTTGGAAGCCTACATTTCTATGAACTTTTTAAACAACCCTTCTCTCCTGCTTCTCTGCATCCTCATGAATACTTGTTATCTTTCACCTTTTCCATAATGTCTACTTGGTATCCCACTAGAGCCTTTACTTACACTTCCCTGATGGTTGGTCACATTGAGGATTTTTTCATACACCCATTGGCCATCTATCTGCAGTCTTTGTGAGAAATGTCTAATCAGGTCCTCTGTCCACTTTTTAATCATACCGTTTTCTTGTTATTGAGCCATGTATCCTTTATGCTTTGGATATTAACCTTTTATCAGACAGTTTTCCACAGTTGGCAAACAGTTTCCCACTTCATAGGTTGTCTCTTCAATCTGTTGACTGCTTCAATTACTATGTAGAAGTTTTTTGGCTTGATGTCAAATATGTATATTTTTGCTTTTGTTGTCTGCTTTTGGAGTCACAATCAAAAAATCTTTACAAACATCAGTGACATGCAGCTTTCTACCATCTTTTCTGGTAGCAGTCTGTAGTTTCACATATTAAGTTTTTTATTCATTTTAATTAATTTTTAATGACTTATTCATTCATTTGAAAGGCAGAATTAAGATAGGGAGGTACACAGTAATTTTCCAGCTGCTGGTTCACTCCCTGACTCCCCAAATGGTCATACTGTCTGGAGCTGGCCAAGCCAAAGCCAGGAGCCTGAAACTCCATGTCCTAGTCTCCTCTGTGGGTACAGGGTTCAGGCACTTCAGCCATCTTTTGCAATTTTCCCAAGGAGCTGACTGCAATAGAAGCAGCAGGACTCAAACTAGCATCCACACAGATGCCAGCACCACAAACAGCAGCTAAACACATGGTGTCACAATGCTCGCTAATTCAGTTGGTTTTTATATATGCTCTAACAATCAAATTTCATTCTTTAATATGTGGATATAATTTTCATATACCACCTACTGATCAGATTGTCATTTCCCCACTGTATGCCCTTGGCATGTTTGTTGAGAAATCAGTTGACAGTAAACGTGTGGATGTATTTCCAGGCTATTTTGATCCACTGGTATTTGTGTCTTTCTTTAAGCAAGCACCATGCTGTTTTATAGACAGCTTTATAGATTTTTCAAATAAGGCAGTGTGATGCCATTATCTTTTCTTTCCCCCTTCAACTTTGCTTTGAGAAGGTAAGTGTATGGATTCCTGGTTAAGAGACCACCTGGGGGGCCCACCATGATAGCATAGTGGTTAAAGTCCTCGCCTTGCACCAGGATCCCAGGTTCTAATCCCGGCAGCCCTGCTTCCCATCTAGCTCACTGCTTGTGGCCTGGGAAAGCAGTTGAGGATGGCCCAAAGTCTCGGGACCCTGCACCTGCATGTGGGAGGCCCAGAAGAGCTCCTGACTCCTGGCTTTGGATTGGCTCAGCTCCAGCTGTTGTGGTCACTTGGGGAGTGAACCATCAGATGAACGATCTTCCTCTCCGTCTCTCCTTCCCTCTTATGTATCTGCCTTTCCAATAAAAATAAATAAATCTTAAAAAAAAGAGAGAGAGAGAGAGAGAGACCACTTGGGATGCCCACATCCTTTACTGGAGTGCCTGGGTTGAAGCTTGAGCTTCATTATCTGATGCCAACTCCCTCTACTACACAAACTGAGAAGTAGCAGGCGATGGCTGACTTAAGAAGATTCATTCTTGGGGTTGTGTTCCTGGTCTCCAGCTTCAGCCTGACTCAGCCCCCAACTTCCATAGCCATTCAGTGAAAGAATGGAATAGGAGATCTCACTCTGTCTGTTGCTCAAACAAAATAAAACAAAATAATTTTAAGATGTACTTGAATAAAGACTGCTTTAAGTTTTTTGTACTTCCATCTGAATTTTAGGATTTTTTTTTCAACCTCCACAAAAAAATCTTACAGTATCTTTGATATAATTAAATTTGTAGGTCACTCTGACAAATAACCCAAACCATTCAAACAAACTAGTTAGAATCATCAACTAAATAAACTTAGTGAAAGCTCATTTATTCTTTGTTCAATTACACTTTTCCTTTTCTTCTTTTTGGTTGTTCACAGACTGACCCTCTCCTGTCACTCAAATGTTAAAACAAAACCTTTTCCCAAAAGAATTTATTTATAACAAAAATAAGTTCCTCTACACTCAATAAAAGTGTGGGTGGGGCTTGGCCTAGCAGATAAAATGCCCGTGTGTCTCTCATATATCAGACATGGGATCAAAGAGACTTGGGAACAACATCCCAGCTCCAAATCTTGAATCAAGCTTAATACACATGTATATATAACACACATGTATATTTTTATATATATATATATATCCTACTTATTAACCATTTGCTCCCTATGTTGGAGTCCAGAAGTTTCAGATTACACATACAAGTGCTAATACATAACCCTGGAAAGCACAAACTATGGTTCCAGTAACTGGATTCCAACAACTCACATAGGAGAGCTGGACTGTGATCCTGGCTCCAGGTTTCAGCTTGCCTATTTATTTCCACCACGGTGAGCATTTAGGAAACCAGAAAACAGTAACTCTATCTCTCAAAAAATTTTTTTAAAAAAGGTTAAACGGTATATAATACTGACTATAGCTAATAAAAACATATTTTGCTATTAGAAATTGGTAAGTTTTACATTTTCTTACCACAAAAGATTAGGTAATGCAAATATCAGCTACCCAGATCAGTGATTCCACTGTGTGTGTGTGTGTGTGTGTGTGTACACATATGCACATGTATATATCAAAACATTAACTTGGAGTTATGATGCCTCTGCCCCACAGAGTCCCTGGGTTAAATTTCGGTTCCTGTAGATCCTGGAATGTGGCAGTACTAACCTAAACTATCTTCCCACCACTCATGTGGGAATCTTGGACTGAGTTCCTTGCTATGGACTTCAGCCCTGGGCCATCACAGCTATTGCAGCTATTGTAAGAGTGACCAAATGTTAGATGGGAGTTCTTTTTCTCTCCTTCTGTCAGACAATTAAAAATAATTAATTGTAGTAAAAATTATGCTGTAAATTAAGAATATTCACAATTGTTTCAATTAAAAATATAACAAATAATTGTTTAATGAATGTTTAACTGTGTCTATCTCATTCAAAAGGGGCAGAGGTTAGATACTTTGAAATAGCATCTCGTCTACTACAAAATAGTGCCTACACACTTAATAAGAATACTTACTGAATTATATTGCCCAAGAAACAGCTTTCCGAAACTTGTGTGAAAAGGAAAGATGCATTTCCATAAAGCTTAATTTAAAAAATGAGTTTTTACATGTGAGAGATCTTAGGTGATGATTTTATCCAATCTTTGCATCTTAGAGAACCTCTTCTATTTAAGACAGAAGGTGGTTGGCATTTTATCACAGCAAATTAGCCTTCATTTGAGATGCCTGCGTTCCAGAATGCCTTAAAACAAGTCCCACCTCCATGTCCCATCAAGCTTTATGCTAATGAACCAGAGAGGACGTGAATGAGGTCCAAGCACTCGAATTCCTGCACCAACAGAGATGCTCCTGGATTTCCTGGCTCCTAGTTTTGGCCTGGCCTAACTTTGGTTGTTTTAGGTACTTGGGGCATGAACCAGTGGTTGAAAGATCTCTGTCTTTGTCACTTTGCCTTACAAACTAACTGAATATTTAAAAAGTTAACGATTTCAATCACCTCACCATGTTTCTTCCAATAAAAATAAAATCTTCTTGGGTCATGTTGGGCATAGCAGGTAAAGCCTGTGTCTGGGCACCAGTTCACAACCTAGCTGTTCCATTTCGAATCTAGCTCCCTGCTAGTATGCCTAGAGGGGCAGCAGAGGATGGCTCAAGTGCTTGGGGGCAGAGAATGGCTCAAGTGCTTGGGGGCAAAGGCTGAACTCCGCAGATGCTACCACTTATGACAAAATCTCAACAAATAGCAGGTTGTCTAAACCTCTGTTCAGTGGGAGACTGGAACTTTCTGGCTCCTACTTTTGGACAGGCCCAGTTCTGGCCACTGCAGGCATTTGGGGAGTGAGTTAGGAATCAAAGATTTATTTCTGTCTCTCCATATCACCCCACTCCTACCCTGTGTAGTTGTTTTTCAAAAAATAAATAAACCTTAAAAAATATATATATATATATATATATTCATATATGTAACAGTAAGTCTGTAACTTTAAGGAAGTACTCTGAAAAGTTCATTAATTATGCAAAAAAGAATACTAAATACCAATAAGTTATCAGTCTGTAGTAACAATATTGGAATGCAAGATTTTTATTTGGGAATCAAAGTGTTACCTTGCTTGACAGATGGACTAAACAATGACATAGCATCTTCTTCATGTGACAACACTGTTACAGCAGATGTCCCATCTTCCATCTGCAAACAACAATACATACTAAATACGTAATTTACCAAAATAAAACTACCAATTATTTATTTACATGTTAACCATTCCGCTAAGTTTTCCCTACATATTATTACTAATTCTTACATTTAACAAGTAAACAGTGAAGATAAAGGTAGAGATATCTAAAAATAATATGTCCCAGAAAATGATCAAATAAGTAGTGGTAGTTAGGATTTAAACCCAGATGTATAAAAATCCCCAAATCTGTGTTTTTTCTATTATACTTGCAGTCTTTCCAGCTGCTAATGCCTGCATATATACAGAAAGACAACTAAATAAAACTTGGTGAAATTCCTTCTATGAAACATCACTGAGTAATTTTTTCAGTTTCATAGCATTCAATATTCACATTTGTATGTAAGCCAAATTTCCTTCCTATTGATTGTCATCTTAATTTAAAATATCTTACTCAAATAAATATTTCAATGTCTCATACTTAAAATAAATATTTATTTTTAGGAACATTGCAATTTCCTGACTCACAAATCCTAAATGCCATATATGTTTTAACTCACATATTTTATCTTTGAGCACTGGTAATCCCCTTGCAGTATACTTTTAAGTCACTGTCAAAAAATCTACCTAAAAGTTTTGATTTTAATTATGACAGAAGCTCATGTATTCTTGATAAAACTGAAGTAATTTTAAAATAAACAAGATCTTTTCATCAAGAGCATCCATATTCTATACCACATGCCTGATTCACATATTCCGTCCTCCCAAAATCTATTCTTTTCTCAGTAATTTCTCAGTGTGATAGCACATTACTGCGTAAGAGTACTATAAAATCATCAATGACTCTTCAGTGTACATTTGTTTCTCTGACTTACCTTGTGTTTCTTTCCAGTTTCTCTCTCATTGTTTTGTCTATCTTTTTTATCAGGAAAAGGGAATTCTTCATCTCCGTCAACAAACGCATATGGATCAATTTTAGGTTCCTGTTCTGCATCAGATGCTATTGCTGAAAGATACTGATTTTTAACCTGATATTGCTGTATTAATTCATCAGAAACTTTTAAAGGCTTCTTACATTGCACCATTAACCTGCATCAAAAAAATTAAAAATTTGTATTTATTATACAAGAACACTTGAAGTTTTTATAATTACTTAGTATTATCTTACCTGAAATACTTCGTGTTACAATAACATAAAATATAGAAGGCTTACATAAAATATAGAAAGGCTTACATAATTTACTTAAGTCTCAAATTTAGTAACAGTTAAAAACACAAGTTTTCTATAATCCAAGATTCCACCTATAAAATACTTTCGGTAACCTGCTCTGCCCTCAAGCTCTCAAGCACAATGACTTGTCCAAATCCTCTCAGCGAAACGGAAGCTTAAATCTAAATTGCTCCATGATGGTGACTCACAGTATAGGATTTTAGAGACAAGATATTTTAACATAAGCTATATATTTACGCAATAAAAGTATCCTTTCCTGACTGCCACCAGTGGATATAATCAGAGTTCAAACCTATTGAGGTCCTGATTTATATTTTATGAATAATTATTACTATTAATCTTGGCAAGATATATTGCAAACAAAATGGTAGTTCAGTTCAAGCACCTTTACTTTATAATCACACTGGAAAATCAATTATTACATAATGAGTCTTCTGGTTTCACACAGTCCAAGAACAATGTTTCTATCAATTCTCTTGATATATTAATAAAATTACAAGGGAAGACAGACCAAGAGAGATAACAGTGAAGTTGCAAAGATAGCTAGTGGAAAGGAACTGGCCAGAGAGAGGTGAAATCAGAAAGATAAAAGATGGAAGTAAGCTTATCTGGAAAGCATCAACATTTTTATATCAGCAAAGACCTGTGTGCTTGTACTGTGAAAACAAAGTTATTAGTTTCTGATTTGTATAAATCACTTTTTGACTCTCAATATTCTTGTCTCTCAGATTTACAAAGCTATAGTTCAAAGATACTACAACAATGGGAGCGAAGCTTCTGTAAAGAATATTTTCAAAGTTATGCAATGATTTCATTGACTAAAAGCCTAAATTCTTACAATATTCTGCTAAAGCCTGCTACCTTACTCCCTTTTTCCTCTCCAGATCCATCTCCTTCTAGTCTATTCTCCTATCTTTCCTTCACAGTGTTTGTATTAGCTTCCTTGATTTTCCTCAAACAGGTCACATTTTTGGATGTTTTTTTATTTGGAACATTCTTCCTCCAAATCTTTGCATATTCAAATACTTTATTGCCTTAAATTTTACAGAGGTATTATCTTCTCTATGAGCCCTTATCCTGATTATCTTGTTTAAAATGGCAATATTACCCAAATGTCTAAGCAGTAATACCCTGCTGTATTTTCTATCTTCTAAAATATAAATTGCATATAACAGTTCAATAAATATTTGCTAATAAACAGATGAAACCACAAAGTCACAAGATGATATACTTTTGATTTAGTAATCCTAAAATACATAATTTTGTACTTCTAAATAAATCATTTTTACACATTACAAATTACTGAGACTCTGCTTATCTGTTTAGAACTGAGAGAAAAATTATCTAAGGTTTAGCTGTAAGGAAGGTATAAGGGTACTTCAAAAAGTTTGTGAAAATGAATTTCAAAATATTTTATACCAGGCACTGCATGGTAGTCTCGCTAAATTCCTTGCTTTTCAAGCACTGGGATCTCATATGGGCACTGGTTTGTACCCTGGGTGCTCCACTTCTCATCCAGTTCCCTGTTTGTAGCCTGGGAGAGCAGTAGAGAACAGCCCAAAGCCTTGGGACCCTACACCCATGTGGGGTACCCATAAGAAACTCCTGACCAGCTCAGTTCTGGCCATTGCAGCCACTTGGGGAAGGAACCAGTGGATGGAAGTTCTGTCTGTCTTTTGTTCACTCTGTAAGTCTTTCTAATAAAATCTTAAAATATATATATTTTGTGCCAAAGTAAACAATTTTAGTTCCTTTTTCCACAAATTTTCTTAAGCGTCCTTGCCAGCCTAAAACTCTCTGAAGGACAGAGATGTCACAGCTCATTCATCTATTTACTAATATCAGCACTGATAGTATTCTACTCCCTATTAACTAACAGCAAAAAAGGCACCAAAACAAAAATTAACCTCCTAAACCTGCTATCAAATATTCAACTATTTATCATTATTCTAAATATACCCCAGATTTATTTCAAATACTAAAATGTCAGCCTAGAAAACTTTCCACTGTGGCAACACAATGCTAACACAACTTGTCAATGGGGGATATTTTATAATTGATCATTACAATAGCATGTTACATAAACATTTAAGAATAGCTCTGTATCTCATATTAGACTTTAAATAACTGCTGGGATTATCTATAAGACATTTTCTGACACAAACCATACCAAAATAACATTTGTATCTATTTGGGCAAGTCCTTTAAGTATTTTATTTAAAATTTACAATGATTCTGTAAGATAAGAAATGGACATATGGTCTCAGAATTTGATGTAGGAATTAAATACAAATGAGTGATTTGTGGATCTGGTGCAGTGGCACAGCAAGTTAATCCTCCACCCTTTGGCACCAGCATCCCATATAGGCACAGATTCTAAATCCTGCTGATCCACTTTTAATCAAGCTCTCTCCACGTGGCCAGAGAAAGCAGCGGAGGGCAGTTCACATCCTTGGGACCCTGCACTCACATGGGAGACCTGGAGAAGGCTCCTGGCTCCCAGTTTTGAACTGGCTTACCTCTGGTCGATGAGACTATATTGGAAGTAAACCAACACTCAAACTACCTAACTCTCCTAAAACCTGCTTTTCAAATGAGAATAAATCTTAAAAAAAAAGAAAAATGATTTGCTGAAGTCATTCAGTGGCAATGTCAGGCCTGGTAGGATTTCTAAACATTCATATTCAAATATCTATTCATCAGAAACACAGTATCAAAAAACACCACGCCTAGCTTAAAAAGTATTAGCACTGTTTGTGTAAGTAAATAAAAATTATGCTTTTCTATTAAACTGTCTTCCTACAAAACCAAAAAACTGTCATACTGTTTACATAGATAGTTGCTAAACTATTGTGCAGCTAATATTGTTCAAAGGTCTAATGTTAATACACAGTTTCGTTAATAATGAGTAAACCAATGTATTGCCTAAAGGTGACTTTTTGTCATTTTATTCAATAGCTCTCATAGACATTAGGAGATGCAGAGAATTTAATGTAGTCATTAATACCAAAAAACATCAAGTCACAATTTAAAAGTATAAATCATTTACATTATACATTTTCCATATTAAAATCTGTAAAAATAAAAATTATAATTTTAAGAGATGCCATTGTTACTATTCACTAGTATTGCTTACATATTCTGCTGTAAGTAAGAATAACATGCCCCTTTTCTGAAAGAAACTTCCACATATAGCTAAATAATAAACTACAGAAGTAATTTCAACTATAAATGAAGCTAAGTACAGATAAACTGGAAAAGGATCACATACAGCTATGAACAATAAGTACTGCAAAATCCAAAGCAAATTCAAATTACTTTTATATTACTCATTAATTACATGTCCTTCCTGTCACTATGACAACAACATACTATTGTATGAGACGCTGGCTTCAACAAGGCTTATCGTAGTATATGCTTTTTTACTAAAAATTTTTTCAGAAAAAGAATGACAATATTTCAAGACAAAAATTATAGGAAGAGATAATCTATGGAAGGAACTGTAAAAGAACAAATGAATTTAACAAATCTCAAATTCCTTTTCCTTTCTAAAACAGGACTTTTTCTAGTGCCACTCCCATATACAGTATAAATTCTCAGTCAAACTAGCTGTTTAAAGAATCATGTTACAAAACCATTCAAAACTACCTGTTTGAACATATACAATTCATTCCACAAAAATCTGGAAAATCACCAACACAATACAGGAGCTGTTTCTAATGATTAACATCATGCTTAGGATAGCTTGATGTGTCCTCACCACAGAACAAAACCAGACAAGAATTATGCTCAAGAATAGTCTCTTGGTTCAGGATTTAGAAAGGTTTTCTCTCTGAATCAAAACAGTACACTCCCTTAACCAAACACAAACTCCACTAAAACTAAGTATTGGGACTGCCACTGTGACATAGTGGGTTAAGCCATCACTTACAATGCTAACCTACAAGTGGTGGTTCTAATCCCTGTTGCTCCAATTTCAATCCACCTGGCTGCTACGTGTGCCCAGCAGAGGATGGCCCTCTAACTCTGCCTTTTAAAAAACAAATAAACAAAATGGTAAGTACTAAATCCTTGGGGGAAAGTTACTGAAAAGAAATACAATGCTTTGGGGTAGAAAAATTGCCATCTGTGAAACTTAAAAGATCCTCAGCTTATACTCTGCGAAAGATGCTGCCACTCACTATCCAACAAAATAAAAAGATCTGCCATCTTTAAATGGTGTATACTATGTTTCATTCTCAACTCCTTAGTCTCCCAAGTAAATTCTAACAAGTTAGAAAAGTCACTTTACTGTTTATGAAAAATTAAATTCTTAGAAGTGATAAATTCTATTATTCTGTACTAGTTAGGAAGTTATCATTATCTAAAACTGACTAGAAAACTCAAGATTATTATTTACTATCATTTACCTGCAATTAAAGGAAGATACCTTCAATAGCAATCAACTGAAAATACCTATTTAAACCAAATGAAAAATTAATTTTCACCTAATTTTTAAAAAAGCTCTTAATTTCTTCTCATTCTATAATTTTCTATGAAGGAAAATACAAAATTAAACCATTAAAAAGAAATCTCTTTACAGTGATCCATTTTTATTCTTTGCAATCTACATCTATTTTAAATAGGTTATCAATATTTTTTCTTTTAATTCAGAGACATGATTCCAATTACTTCTAAGTAGACACGTCAAATTGAAATCACACTGTCACACTGTATACAATGAAGTGATTTAGTTAGTACATACAGAGATGGATGCAACCTCAATCCCTCTCTTCCAGGGTAACATGATTACATAGCCGTTTATATTATTAAGTAAAAAAAAATGAACACACATAAATCACATGACTTTTATATATAT